TTTTTCTTTATTTCTGGGATCACTTTTTCAAGCAAAAAGTGACTGGCATCAACATCCTAAGGATGGAGAACAGATATAAAAGGTAGTTGATATAAAACAACACAACTGACAATTAAGCCAATGGAATGCCATTCATTTGTATCAGCTCATTGTTTACACTAGGGGCTTTTTACATCACAGATCTAGAGTTAGAGTAAAAAATAAGACTTTCATATTAAAGCGATAGTATTTATTTTTCTTAAATCTGCAACAGTGATTTGGTTTACTAACTAACAAATTTTCTAAGAACTGAGCATCTGTCTCAACTCAAAAAATCCAAAGTTTATTGAACACCTAATAAACTATGATCTAATAAACAAATAAAACATCTCAGAAAGCATCTAATTTCTGCTTCCATAAGAAGAAATTTTTATTTATGGGATAGGTGTAGAAATATTCTTGTTGCAAAAATATTGACTACAAGAATAGAAACTAATGTTACTGCACCATTAAAACAAAAGGAGTGCTCGTAACCATATGATAAATATGGAAATGCTAACTGTTTATTACCTTGAGATTAAAAATAAAAATAACTGCATTATTTTCTGTATGTTATTTTAACCTGTTTCCTTAGTGCTTGGAAACATATTATTTAATTCTACACTGGTGAAGAACAGAAACATCTTGAAAATTTGGTTTTATTCTTTTCAAACAGGATAAAATAGATTGACAAAACCACAACAAATACTTATCCATTTGTAGAAAATATAGATGTAATATCCCCTCTGTCTTTACTGAACTAACAATAAATTAATAACCCCAAATACACCTCAACTATGAATAAAAGAAATGAAAAAAAGCCTTCCTGAGAATGAGGCTTGCAATTTCTGAATATTTTTCATATGTTTAAGCTACATCTTCAATGCAGGAGCTGCCAGAAACACATTTTTCTTTCAGTAATCTCAACTGAATTCCTAAGTAAGCTTCTTCTAAGTTTGTCTTAAAATGTGAGTTTATAAATAGTTTGGTTTCAATTTTTTTTTCAGAACTTTACTGCCTGACTTATTTGAGCAAAGAAAGCAGGACTTTTTTCCTGAATCCACTAGAAGTACAAAATAAATCCCTGAATGTGCTTTGAAGGAAAAAAAAAAAAAAAAAAAAAAAAAAAGTAATAATCAGAAAACTACAGTTTGACATGCAAGATTTCCTCTTCCACACTAGTTGTCAAGCAGCTAGAGAAAGAGCCTTGTTCTGCATACCTTTCATTCCACATGCACCATAGTTTCAGTATGGGTTTATTGCTGTTCCCATTAAAGGCTGCTGAGGTTTTGTCATGTTTTCAGTGGGCACAGGCTTCAATCTGATGTCAGTATTTAGACATCAAAAGACAATTTAAAGGATGTACAGAATTTGTACTAAGAAAGACAACAAGGACTCAAAAGAAATAAATATAATTTTTTCAAATTATTTTCATTATAATTTATTACCAAGCTATGATAAAGTTGAGGAGGGAAAGGTCTACACCCATGTACCCAAATGTGCAGTTCAGTGAAATGTAAATCAACCCTTCCAAAACAGTGCAAAAAGAAAGGTAAGGCAAAATTAATTAGCCAGCAGAATCACTGGAATTTTTCAACTTAGTGTCTCCAGGCATGGAAAAAATACTGCTAGGATACAAGTATATAATGGAACAATTTCAAATGCCTCCTTTTCTTGTTTCAACACATTACTACTTCACACTGAGCAAGATTAAATACCAAATATATTTTATCAACTATATTTTAACACAGATCAGTATCTTGCAAGGACCCTCGAGTTGAGGAGAAGGTAGTATGCACCTTGATGGGTACATATTAAGGAGTAAAACAAATCTACACTGAGCTATATACTGTAAGAATTATCATAAGTATTGCTATGAATGCAGAAGCCACTCACTCTTGAAGGCAACAGGAGGGTTGTCAAGAAAGATTATATGAAGTATGACTTGTGCATACCTTCAAAACTGCAAAAGAAACAAAAGATACTCAGGCCTAGCTTGGTGTGGAGTTTATTTTTTGTGTCTAATACGTATGTATTCAGAATTTATGGTAATAACTGAGGAAAATAACACTATCAGGGCAGAACTTAGATTGTCCTTGCCTTCAAAGTTATATTTATATGTCATTTAACTTAACTGAACTTAAAGGCATACTAACAGTTAAAGATCCTTTAGAGAAAATTCTGTCTTTAAAGTATATATATATGCATGTAAGCACATATCTCCCTAAAGCCAAATTTTGAGATGATAATCACTGGAAGTAGAACTACTACCTTACTAGCAAAGGGATCAAAATACGTTGTCATTTTGTAGAGATGCAATTAAACAATCTCTTTGACAGACAAGTTGAACCTTCTGATACATTGAATTGCTTCCAAAAAAGCCAAAGGGAAGTGCCTTTTTTGAAAATGAATCGTATTATCTAATAAGGAGAAAGATGGAGGTTTTCCACAAAAATAATCTTATAAAACCACTTTTAAAAAGATAAAAAGTAGACGAATCTCTTCAGGATGCTCTCAGGAACTGAAGGCTTTTCAGGTCAACATAGTATGGGTCATTACTTCAATGTCATCGTCAATATCATAAACAATATAAACACTGGGAACACATAACTTCTAATTTCTACGTGTACATAGACATTTTCTAAATATACCAAACTAATGATAGATTATAACAAATAGCCCCTTACACATCAAAATTTACTATCAGCTGTGGTGGAAACAGGATTTTTTTTCTTATTCAAATATAAGGTTTCTGTTGACTTACATTTCAACATTAGGTATTTCTCAATACAAAAGGACAAAGTTGCTTAATGATAGATGTGTAATGATTTGTTACACTAGTTGTACTAGAGATATTTCTGCTGAGCATTTAATGTCAATCTTTATTCTAGAAAAATCATATTGCACATTATTGATTTTTGTGTTTTGTGAACTTCCACTGAAATCAGATGACATGGACTGAAACAGATGCATATGCTGCAAAACCATGCATATAATTGCACCACTGTAGACAGAAGTCCTACCTACAGCCTGACACTGACAACAACAAGTTGTGGTGAATTGAGTTAAATCCAGTTGACGTTCCATCACAAAAGGTGTTCCCCAAGGATTAGTGTTGGGGCCAGTTCAGTTTAATATCTTCATCAATGATCTGGATGAGGGGATCCAGTGCAACCTCAGTAAGTTTGCAGATGACACCAAGCTGGGCGGGAGCGTTGATCTGCTTGAGGGTAGGAAAGCTCTGCAGAAGGATCTGGACAGGTTGAATCGATGGGCTGAGGTCAGCTGCATGAGATTCAACAAGGCTAATTCTGAGTCCTGCACTTGGGTCACAACAACCCCATGCAGTGCTACAGGCTTGGGGAAGCGTGGCTGGAGAGCTGCCAGGCAGAAAAGGACCTGGGGTGGTTGGTTGAAAGCTCGCTGCATATGAGCTGGCAGTGTGCCCAGGTGGCCAAGAAGGCCAATAGCATCTTGGCTTGTATCAGAAATGGTGTGGCCAGCAGGAGTAGGGGAGTTATCGACCCCCTGTACTTGGCACTGGTGAGGCCACACCTTGAATACTGTGTTCAGTTTTGGGCTAGTCGCTACAAGACATTGAGGTGCTGGAGCATGTCAAAAGGAGAGCAATGAAGCTGGTGAAGGGTCTAGAGCATAAGTCTTATGAGAAGCAGCTGAGGGAACTGGGGTTGCTTAGTCTGGAGAAAAGGAAGCTGAGGGGAGACCTTATTGCTCTCTACAACTACCTGAAAGGAGGGTGTAGCGACGTGGGTGTTGGTCTCTTCTCCCAAGTAACAAGTGACAGGACAAGAAGAAACAGCCTCAAGTTGTGCCAGGGAAGGTTTGGACTGGATATTAGGAAGAATCCCTTCACCAGAAGGTTTGTAAAGCATTGGAACAGGCTGCCCTTGGAAGTGGTGGAGTCACCATCCCTGTAGGTATTTGAAAGATGTGTAGATGAAGTGCTTAGGGACATGGTTTAGCGGTGGACTTGGTAGAGTTAGGTTTTTGGTTGGACTTGAAGATCTTAGAGGTCTTTTCCAACAAAAATGATTCTATGATTCTAAATTAAATATCAAATAGCACATATTACTCTTTGTGACTTCTAAAATCTTTGTTGCCAATTACAATGTCAAAACATTCTGAAGCTATAATATTATAAAGAAAGGAAAGTTCTGGTTAAAAGTTGAACCACGTTCAAGATTATTCTTTACATTTGCCTTAAAGATCAAAGATTTATCAGCTTCATCTACTCAAATTGTGGGTCCAATAATCTAATGCTTTATTGTTTAACTTGTTCTTGGTATGTGAAAAGAATTCAAGGTGAAGTTCCCACAAGAATTTTCAGTCTATCTGTTGTATCAGTGACTATTGTTTAAACCACTAATTCATTACTGATACATTCTTGGTTTGTTTCTGCATCAAAAACAACAATAAAGGGAAACCAGTATTTCTGCAATTTCCTGGAGAGCCTCCTATGCCCAGGGAAAAATGAACATTGTGCTGAGTGGGCTCTGCCTCTGAAAATGAATTATTTGCATGTGTGTACACATTCAGTTATTTACTGAAGAGCAGAGAGAGAAACATCAAATCATTCCCCATTGGAAATACGCTTGTCACAATCATTTTCCTAAGAAGCACAGTTTGGAACCATAATCCATATTATTAAAAAAAAAAACAAAACAAAAAAAAAACCACCCACAAACAACAAAAAAAGGCACTGATGAGACAGTTCATTCAGCTAAGGTGTGACTTGCTTCTGCCAATTCACTGAACTGTACAAGAAAGACCACCACAAGTGCACAGAAGAGGAGTAAATAAAGGTAATTTTTTTTAAATTCCTTGCCTGTAGGATCCGTGGAGGGTAGACAGATTTTTGCACCCAGATACCTGCATTTTGTTCTTTTGGACTGACCCATGGTGGTGATAAGGGACACATTTTCAAGCATGCAGACCCATGGACTCTGCTCACAGCTACTGCTTCACAGTCGCGTGTCATACTCCAGAGGCTCGTCTGCATTGTCTGCTCCTCTGATGCTTGTCTCCATTTCTGTTTCAAAGGCTGGACTGACCCTTTCTAGTGTGTAGTCACTTCTTCTCAAATCTATGGCAAGAAAATAAATTCAATGATGCAGCCAAGTAAATGTTCGAAAAGCATGTACACCTTAGGCAGTGTCCGGCCCAGTGACCAGTGGTAGCCTGTTAGCTGTTTCCAGGAGGAAGAAAATCTGCAGCAGGGCAAATAAGAGCCAGGAAGATGAGAGCCATAGGAGGACCCAAAATGGTGTGAGCTGATGTGAATGACCCTTCCCAGACTGTATTCACTCAGCTGATTTTTCCCTCTGTTATCTCTAGCTGCCACAGCCAAATAACGAAAAATTATAACACTGCAGTTTCTGTTTCAGAAGCGAACGACAATTATTGCTCCATGTAGGCAACAAAAGGAAGGAGCTTTCCCCTAGAAAAAATAGATGGGTGGAAATTAATCCAGAATAGCAATCTATTTTGGCTTTGAGTCTTTTAAATCTGCCCCACATCAAACAGAAGCACATTCTGTCAAATCTAACATCAGCAACAGGCAAACCAACTAAGAAGTAAGGTTTGTAGTGTATAGTACTCTATCCCAGGGCCAGGAAACCTCCAGTGAGTTGTTCCCTAGCTAATGCACTGCCAATTTTTAGATCATTACTCTTTCTCATTCTAAAAATTATTGCTGATTTTATCTGTAGTCATGACCCTGGGAAAACGAGCTACCATTTTGAAAAGTAAGGGAAACAATTCAATGGGTAGAAGGTTTTGTGCTGAATGCTAATACCAGGTTGATAGGCTCCAACCCTTACAGGTTTCTGGGCAAAAAAGCAAGGTAAAAGAGCAATATCCTCATATCCACTTTTGCACCAAGAGAGTGTGCCTGCTATAATCTTTCAGCTCAACAGAATTTCAGTACTTGTCTTTATAGCATGCCTAGGCCTTTACTTCCTTGTACTTAAAAAGTTATACAAAGATTAAAAATGAATCTTTACTTTTCATACCAGGAAGTTTCAGCCTCCTGCAGCAAGAGTTACAACGATGCTTTGCAATGAAGTTTCTTATTGCACCTTCTCCTAGGTTTGCTGGTCCAAATACCATCTTTCCAGATCTAAAAGAAATAGTATTAAATAATCAATGAATTCAAAATAAAGCAATTGTAGGGGAGAGAGATTGTGATGGTTTGTATTTTTTAAATCAGAGATGTTAGCCCTTTCTATAAAGACAATCAAAGCTTAGCATGCATCACAAGTTTCTCAGCTCTGGGACAAGAAATCTGCAAATTCTGGTAAAGTATTAGCCTACATATACCCCACACTACTTTTCATTCCTGAAAACAACTCAGAAATGCTCTAAATGGAGGCAGAACAGACCCAGCAGTTCCTACTAAAACACTCAAAATCTGGGCACAGTGACATTTAGACAATATACACCAGAACCTGAGTGACTCTGTTGCAGCCACTGTTCATTCTCATCAAGAGAATGGTTTGGTTCCAGCTTTGATGGTAGGCACCTGGGAACAAACCAGAGCCAGAAAAAGACTTACTTTTATCTTATTTAAGAACAGAAAGCCAAAAGCGAGCAGAGCCCTAGTCACATCAATATGCACCACAGGGGAAAAAACAAAAACAAAAAACCAACCAACAGAGTACACCGCTGAAAAGCAAGGCTTTAAAATTTATTGGCTTCTTCCTATGCTCATTTCCATGTGTCTGCACTCAAGCCAATTCAGCAATGTTACTAGGGGATCCATTTGTGGAAGTGTGTTGCATATTCTGAATGAAGCTGACACAATTACTAACAGAAGCAAGATATATCTACATATGTATTAGAAGTACCACATAATTATAACAGATACTTAATGCAGCCTGAAAGATCAGTGCTCATTAACTTTAATATTGCTGCAGCACTATTCTGAAGAATTTAATTGACATTCTACACATCACAGAACAGAGCACACAAGAAACACATCCAAAGAAACTTTATGAATGCTAGTATTTTATTTTAATGGTATGCAGAGTGGAAACAAGACATTTTAAAATCTAAAATAAATTACAACTCTGAGAAGCTATATAAAAAGATTTTAACTCTCTCAAATCTATCTGTAATCCACACTAACAAAATATATTCTCTCTAAAGAAAGAAGTTTTCAAATATGACACTTCCGTTTTACACAGTAGAAAAGCAATGATTAGTCAAAACTATAGAAAACAATATCTTTATAATTTCTGAAAGATCATAATGCTTCCCAGATCATCTGAAGGGCTCATCTAATCAGCCTTTATTGCAAATTAGTACGTTAAAGGAGGCAAGAAGTGAATTATTTAAGTGTCATATATATACTTTAAATTACATGATGGTATATAGACATTTCTATTCCTTGGTATAATCCAGTAAAATGCCAGTAAGAATAGAACATGCCTAACTATTTGCTTGGGCAGGCATAGGAAATTGAGAGGACTTGACTAACTCCAAGGTTACAGAACCACTCTGATACTTCCTCTGGTCTAACTGTTATTCCATGCAAAGTGCAGCAAATAGCCCAAGACAGATAATTTTCTCATGCTGTTTTGAGATAAACAAGGATACTGTCTGCAATATATACGAAGCAAATCTTTCCTCTCTACCTTGCACTGGCAAAGGTTCAAGAGGAATATAGCATTTAAATTTGGAAAACTCTTTCAATAAATATGTGAATAAACTGGGAAAATAACAAGAATGACCAGCAGTCTAGAAATCATGACATACATGAAAAGATTAGAGGGTAGCCTAAAAGGGAAAAAAGGAATTGAAGAAGATCGTGACTATCTTTGAACTTGTTGAAATCTTTTTCTCTATGTTGACAGTCGACAGGACCAGAAAGAAATGTTTCAAGAAGGAAATTAGAAAAAATCTTTCAGACAGTAATGATAGAAAATTATTGAAAACAGATGCTCTGGGAAGTTTTTAATATTTGGAAGACCTTAAGACTTGTACGTACAAGACCTGCAAAGTCAGGAATGACCTGGTGCAGAAGAAGAACCAGTTGAACTCTTCAGGTCCCTTCTAACCCTACAAATGTTTTACAAACAAGGTCACTCTCTTGGTTATTCAAGGTTTGATTTTGTGTCCAAGGAAAGAAAAATACTGAGCCCAGCTGTCCTATTTCTCAAGCAGGTGCATCAATGTGAGCAAACGGGCTTAAAAATACAAAACGCGTTCCTCCTATTGTTCAGAACCTTATCTAAGAGTTATGCTCCATAAATGCCTCCCAGATTGTACCACACTGGTCCTAGCTGACAGGGAGTTAACACTGACTGAGCTGATGCTAAGAGTGCTCCTTACAGTCAAAAGCTACAAATGCTCAAAGCAGACAATAAGATATTTACAGGGCTTTACTGATGGAAGGTAAAGGACTGTGGGGAGGCTTCATGGCAAGTAGAACCTTTCCAAAGTAATTTATTCAGTATGTTTTTGTAGATTTATTTTCCAGTCCACCTGTTTCAGTTGTGCAGGTTTCTACAGAAGAGGTTGAGTTCATGCAGCTGTTTTGTCTACTAGCAGCAATTCAGCTGTAAATTCTTTGGCTGGAAGCACAGAGCTTGGTAAATATTCAATAGATTTGTTCTTCAAAACTCATGCCAATGAGTAGCTTCAGAGAACATGATGCCCACTCATTATTAAACCCTTCAGTCCACCACTATCTGCTTGAAAGCTTTCAAAAGGACAATAACAGACCTAGCACCTCTGACTCCTCCTTTTCACATCTTTCTAATGAGATTTTTTACTGCCAGCACCCTTTTTCTCACCTCTCTCAGCAGGCCTAATGCATTAGTTCTTTGCAATTTGAAACTCAGCCCACTATTTTCCTCATCTCTGAATCTACTCTACAGACACTCTGCACCTAACGTCTGTGAAATCTTTACCTGCATGGACTTTGTTGTGGTTTTGGCAAATACTACAAGCTAAAAAAAACATCCAGGGTACTGCTTATGAGGCAATTCTTCCCAGCGTTTGGGTGGTACAGGAGTCTGCAGGGACTGCACTGTGTTACAACCTTACTGCTGTGGCTCGATTACTTCTGTTTTTAAAGTAAATCTTTTGTGAACGTTATACTCACATCATTTTATCACTTCATACATCCTATGCAGTGCACATTGCCATATCATCAATTGATGTTAAATATTCATAAACTTACACTAATTTACATCAGTCTGGGATCTGTCTGAGATGTCACAGTATCATGCATACTTTTCAAACTGTTATTTTTATCTTGGTACTGTATATAAAACCAAAGTACGATGCACTATCACAGATCTAGAGGTCACATTTTGCCATTCTAAAGTCTATTTCAAGACAGCATGCAGGATGCATGAAAGAAAAGACTCATACAAGAAAATTACATGAGTCACTAAATCAATGGAATTAAAGAAGCAAAACATCAAAAAATTAACTGTAAGTAGTGCTAAAATTTGAATCAGCCCCACCAGCCAGATGCCATCTATTTTCTCCTGGGCTTCTAAGAGAACGTGATCTCAGAGTAACTTTTGAGGCAGCACACAGGTTTTGATTAAGTATCTTACCTACATATGAAAATTTAAAACAGATCTTACTGCTGCCAGAAATGTTTCTCTTGTGAACAAATGAAGGTTAGAACAAAGACAGTTCTTTTACATTATTATTGTTATTATTATTTTAGAAAGTGTTCCTTAGAATTGGGTATCTGCTAGCTGCTTACAGAATCCATCCATGGTTTCACTGTTTTATTCCTTTAGATCCCTGTTTCAAAACAATATAGTTTCACAGCTTACTGTTCTGAAGACTTCCCTGAACGTAAGAAAATCAAGCTGGTTTTGATTAATTAATCAACACTATCTCTTTAACTAGGACTTGACTGTTTTGCAGATGATAAAAAACAAAACAACAAAAAGTTCTGAAAATAAGATCAGTGTTATCAGATTTTAGTAAGCATGACAAAATTATTTAATGACAAAAATAACACAGAAGGATACTAATAAACATAAGCTTCAAGATAATATAAATAAATATTATTCCTATTTTAAAGATGATGAGCTCAGTTGCCATGTGAAATACTATGGTCAATGTCTGGCCACAGTCTACAGTATTAACTATTACAGTTTATGCTACCACTGATAAAAAAAATTCATTTGAACAGTAGCAAAACAGACTTATACATCTGTAGTAATACCTTAAAAATGTTTGCCAAAATCTAGTGAGTAACTACATGACTGACCTCTCTATTCTAAGCTATTCTTGTGCTTTAAATTGGTCCTATGACCTACTTAGGGCAAAGACTTTGCCACTGTAAGGTGCTCAGGATATTTTTAAGTTGTTTCCAAAATAAATATTATACAGCCAATACACCTACATTCATAATTGAAACATTCATACAACATTAATATAGTAATTTAGTACTAATCTTACTAATGAAATGTTAATAATGGTCCTAGAACTAAGAACCTTCTTCCAAAATTAACTTGTTCTGAGTTCTAGGCAAGTCATCTAATATTTAAAGTGTTATTTGCCCTTAGTATTAAATCCGAGTATTCATATTTATATCTCCTTCCTTCCAAATATGAAACACTTCTTCAATCAGATGACATGAGCTGAGCAAGAGGGAGCCAAGCAGAGCACAAGACAGTGGAGGGGCAGGGATGCCAGGGCACAGCTGGAGAGACGTGTGGGTTTAGGAAGATTGCCCAAAGAGGATCCTGCAGGAGAGCAACCACCAACACCACTGCTTCTCCTCTCACTACAGCAAATAACAGCAAGGGGCAAGTTCACAGGATGGCAGAAGGGCCATGGTTTTGATTCTGAAATTTGATGCAGACTGCTGCTTCTGTGTGGTCTCTCTAGCTTTTCTAACTTTCCACACATGATTTACCATCTCTGTATCACGACTCTGAGACAGAACGTTCAGTATGCGCAAATGCACCACTAGGACCTATGGGATAGATCAGAGATCCAAAGGCCCTCTCCTCAACCTCTGAAGCCATTGTGTTCCCATATACTTCATGAAACTGTGCCTCACCAGGCAGGGGAAAACTGGACTGTCACATTTAAGTTTCTGATGACCTCCTTTGGTGTAAATATGTAAAGAGTCTTGCAGGGTCTTCTGTCTCCCATTCCTGGTCTCCCTGCATAGCCCTGGAAAACTCCTGTGCTTCCAGCTCAGCAACACAGACTCTCCACACCTTTCATACACCTCTCACTAGATGCTGGGTGCAGGGACACTTACAACCCCGCCAAGTCCACAGTCCTCCAAAGCACAGCAGAGGACGTAGCCACTCCGTTGTCATTATACCTTCATTTAACCCAAACACCTTGCAACACATCACTCTCACACAAAACATAAAAAACCACCTTCAATAAATATACTGTTGGCAGAACATATAAAGTGAATGATAATTTCATCAGAAAGAAACCTACTTTTTGTCTTCAGGTTTAATCACAGATGGATCTGTTAGGTTTTCCCCAACACCTACAACAAAATCAACAGTGCGTGTTACAAAGGATCATAGTAATAATTTCATAATCTGGAACTTAGCAAAAACGTAATTACCCGTTTTCTTTGTAGATCATAAAGTGTCATAGTTAAAGTGGTCATGAGTTAAAAAGAAAATGCCATGAGTATAAAAATCTGTTAAGTATTGGTAAACATACAGAATTCTTATTACAGTCTTGACTTCAGCTGCTTTGAGTTTTATTCATATGTAGACTGAAGGCTTATGCAAATACACTAAATATCATGCCGAAGCTTAACTAAGAAAAATGTGAACAACTGTAAGTAGAGTGGAGTCAAGGTATTACTCAGATGTGGATCTTACTGATATCAATAGATCTACTGTCAAATACACATTCTTTTCAAGATAACAAACACAAGCCACAACTTAATGACTTGCAAATGCTGTTATCCCTTTTTCCTTTTGGGTGGCCATGGAAGTGTATTAAATAAATATTAATTATTATTAAATAAATAATTTAATTACGGTACCTGAATGCTGGTATCAATGTTGCAGTTTTTGCCAAACTGACAACATATTACCATTTTACAAAAAAGCTTCTTTCCTACATCTGAGGAAATCATTGTGTTTTTATACTAATGAAAAAAGTCTGTGATCGTATCATATGCAATTATTTTTATTTCAAAAGGCCACTGAGAGTAAGTTTATATTCTGCAAAGAACACCAGTAAAGATCATGGAAATAGCACACTGTGATTGAAATACTCTTCAATTAAGGTAATTTCAGTTGATGTAGATTAGTCAAAAATGTAGTATATATGTATGTGGAAATGGCCCTGGTATTATAGTAAATAGAAATAGAGATTAACCCTATTAGAACTCCAAGAGAGCAGTCCTTGCACTTTTCCTAAACTCCAGATTAGAGAACTACAAGATAAACATGAGGCCAAAACTAGAGCAGATTTCAGTCTGTTTTAGATGGAAACTGAAGCTCCAGTCTTGACGAGATTTACATAGATGTTTAAATTCTCCATGTTTGAGCCAACACAGTTGGTTTGGAACTGTCAAGAGCTGTATAATAAACCCAAGCAAACTTCAGACAAATTCTAGTAGGCTATGGTGAAGACACACTCTTATTTTTTTTCATTTGCAGCTAAAACCAAATGAAGGCAAGGATGGAATTATAGGTTTATTTTGCATAATAAGCAAGTCTTTTTATAATTCACAGCTTCTGTGTGATGTATGTAAAATGTAAATATGTTAAGTCTCTGTCTACCCATACACATTTCCCTTGACAGAAATGACAAACAATAGTGTTTATACTGTTTGATGGGCGCTGTTCATCTTCTGAACATTGTCAACTGTTTTATCTCTTTAAAATATGCCAAGTTCCCACTTACACATGTACAGTAAAGTGATCATATGCTCTTTGAAGGAACCACTAGACTTTGTAAATAGCATTCAGTCTTGCAGCTTATGTAGACTGTGTCCAGATTTATTAATATGAAAAATAAAAAAACACAGGTAGCTGTAGATATGCTTGAATCTCTGTATTATTTATATATCCTAATAAAAATACCTTAACTGTGGAGTGGTTTTTTGGAGCTGGCTGAAATGTTCCTGCACACTTTATTGGCTTACTCTTTTGACCATTCCGCCTAGACGTATTTGAAGCTAAATTATTTTCGTATTGCACCTACATTAATCCAGAGTGTTTCTGCAAATACTCATTTTTCAGTGTTGCACAAGAGATATCCAGGGGTTCCTTGAGCTTTGCCACATGCAAATAAAACCAGAATTTGGCTCATTCCTCAGTATTAAATTATTTCTTGAGAACTGCATTTCATTTGTTTTCAAATAGTGATCCCACGCTAAGAGTCACCTTGCAAATCCAGGACAAGGAGCTCTCCACGGGTGTACACATAGGTCCAGTGAGAGAAGGCCAGCATGAGCTCTTCCAGCAAGCTGCTGGGAGTAATCTCATCTCCGTTGTTGTTGTTGTATTTCCGAAACTCGCCAGTCATGTACTTCTCAATGGTCAGCCACTGGTTTGCTGAATGGCAGTAGATGAGGAAAACTTCCAAGAACCTGTAGAAATAAATGCTGTCTATCAGAAGCTGCCAGGGTAATGAGCATTGTCACAGAGAGCACTTGGCATGATGCAAGGCAACTATATAAAAAAGCAGGACACATCTTTCCCAGCTGGAGCGTTTTGAACAGCAGGAAGTACCAAATGGTAAAGAGCACAAAGGCTTTCTCGGTTTGATAATTCTCAAAACAAAGCACTTTATCAGAAAGTATAGTTTATGGACAAACAACATAATCTACTTTACTCCAGCTCACTATAAATGAGCTATATCAAATTATTGTCTTATGTTAATTGTATAAAAGGCAATTCTTGCTTAAGTCTAAGGAACAGCATTATTAAGAATTTTATTTTGCCAACACATGTAACTATAAAGACAAAGTTCAAAACTGCCTACCTTTCCTCTTAAAAAGTTGATTAACTACCACTAGACTGTGTAAGCAGTAGGCATATCAACCCCCTATGGAAAAGAAGGCTGCACTAGACCTGGGACACAGCTGAGAAGGGAAACTTTTGTCACCTAATACTTAAAGACAGTGATTTTACCTTGGAGTATAGGGAATAGTATGAGGCTTTACTTGATTGAAGGTATAGATTAACTTCTGGGCAGCCCTTTGCTGTTGGATCTCCTGAAGAAAATAATGTTATAAACATTACTTTCATTTTCATGAAGAAAGGTGCCATGAATATGTCAAAACAAAAAAACAAACAAACACACCTGATTGTATACTGTTTACAAATGAGAGTGTATTGGGTTTGCATGGCAAGGTTTTAGTAGTGGGGGGGCTACAGGGGTGGCTTCTGTGAGAAGCTGCCAGAAGATTCCCCCGTGTCCGACACAGCCAGTGCCAGCCACTGCCCAAGCCCAAGCCCAAGCCCAAGCCAATCACCGATGGTGGTAGCGTATCTGTGATAATGTACTTAAGAAGAGGAAAAAACTGCTGCGCAATAGCAGCTGGGGAGAATGGAGTGAGAATATGTGAGAGAAAGAACTCTGTGGACATCAAGGTCAGTGAAGAAAGAGGAGGAGGAGGAGGAGATGGGGAAGACCATGGTGAGGCAGGCTGTCCCCCTGCAGCCCATGGAGTTCTATGGTGGAGTAGATATGCACCTGCAGTCCATGGAAGACCATAGGAGCCTGTGACCCTGTGGAAAGCCCATGCTGGAACAGGCTCCTGCCAGGACCTGTGAACCTGTGGACAGGAGTCCACACTGCAGCACGTTTACTGGCAGGACTTGTGACCCTGTGGGTGACCCACGGGGTCACAAGTTCCTGAAGGACTGCATGCCATGGAAAGAATCCATGCTGGAGCAGTCTGTGAAGAACTGTAGTCCATGGAAAGCACTCATGTTGGAAAAGTTAGTGGAGGACTGTCTCCCATGGGAGGAACCCCACTCTGGAGCAGCGTAAGAGTGTGAGGAGTCCTCCCCCTGAGGAGGAAGGAGTGGCAGAGACAATGTGTGATGAACTGTGCCACTATGGGGGATGAGGTAGAGAAACAGGGAGCAAAGTTAAGCCTGAGAAGAGGGGAGGTTGTTGAGGGAAGGTGGTTTTTTTAAGATTTGGTTTTATTTCTCATTATCCTACTGATTGATCAGTAATAAATTACACAAATTTCCCTAAGTTGAGTCTGTTTTGCCCATGATAGTAATCGGTGAGTGATCTCTCCCCGTCCTTATCTCGAACCATGAGACTTTCATTATAATTTCTCTCCCCTGTCCAGCTGAGGAGTAAGTGATAGAGTGGCTTGGTGGGCACCTGGCATCCAGCCAAGGCCAGCCCACCACAGAGAGATATGTCTTCCTCAAAACCTTTTTCTTTTCCAAAATATAACGTCAAACCATATGTCAACCATGCCGAAGACATTCACATGTAAGCAGTGTAACATTTAATGCACATCAAGTTAGACCAGTCAGTGTGCCTTCAGGTCTGAACTCACCCTCAGGCAGAGATGTAACACTGTGCCATCATGAAAGATCTTTTGCCAAGTCTGAACCACCTCTGGCAGAAAAGACTTCACAATAAATACTTGTCCCAACTTTAATATATCATTCTCAGACCAAGTACAAATGACCTTCATGGCCCTCCGCAGACCTCCATCCATTTCCTCCCGTGACAGGACATGGATCATTGCAGCCATACCACGCTGGGACCAGGAAGACATGCTTTTATCAAGGTTCATAGGTGAGCTTTCTTCTAGTCGATAGACTGTCACTTCCTCTCCAGCTTGAGTAAAAGGAAGTTTTGTTAGCAGAAGTCATACATTGCAGAAACATGACAGAACTGCATTTTGATTTGGTGTCTTAAAATAACATACCACTTTACATACCTTTGTAAGACTCACTCTGAAAGAGAGCTTTTTTATCATTATTGTTCTTCTGCGAGAAAACTTCCTCAGCCTAAATCCACACTGCCTACTACATACATTCCACTTAAGATCTGCTGTGATAACATGAATGGTCAAAAGAGCTTGTATGAAGCCTCTAAACAGAAATTAATTTAAGTCCCCCTGCCCAGTTCCACACAAAGCGAGCTCATTGGTATTCTATTCTCTATTAATCAATCTTATTTGTCACAACTTTTCAAGTACTTAAAGGTAGCTGAGCTTTAAAAGTATGTATTTATAAAGGGTTACCATTTTATCTCCAGTGTATGAAATATCCTGAACATGGTTCCCTCTGTTTATACACTTATGTGGAAAGAGAATTTTTAGTAAGACTTGTTTTAAGTTAATCAAGATGCATGGAACACTCACAATATTTTCCTTGTAACTGTGCTTGAATTTTTTTTTTTAAATAAAACCACCAAGGTAAACAGCTTGTAATAATTAACGACTACAAAATTAATGGGCCAGAGAGCGCCACCTTTTGACACAAATAGACAGACGAGTTGTTTCAAAAGTGGTGACTTTGCCATGATGAGCCAAGGGAAAGGCCAGGGAAATTAGATTGAAAGGAACATGACTTTCCGTGGAGAGAGGAATCCTAGGAGAACAAGCTAAAGCAAATTAACAGGAAGTTTACAGCTTTAGTATTTTAAACTAAGAACTGTCTTTTTCCTAGAAATTCCAATGTTAGTTGTATGGCACAAAATTTCAGACGTTATGCTCCCTCCTGCTAATAAATTTTTTCTGAAAGCAGAATAAACCTGGTGAGCTTTAACTCAATGGCACCATTTCTCCACTGTAATAGCATTCCTCTCTTGCAGTATAAGCAAGACATATTTCTGTTGCCATCATTTGCAAACTAACAGAGAAGTGGCCTGATTTTTTTAAATTTGGCTTTCCTTATTCCAACTCACTTTATCTGCAATGTTAATTTGTAAGAAACAAGTTTTCACTGGCAAGTGTGATGAGGTGACTACATCTGCAAAATGGCAAAGAATGGTATAAGAAAGGACAAGCTGGATCCCGATTAATAGATTTCCTCCCTGTTTCTGAGCCTACATTCACCAGTTAGCACAAATGTAGATGCCATCCAATGCCACAATTTGTGGACATTTTAATTTAAAATAAAACCAGTGTGTTACATAAAAGACAGACACTTGAATAAAGATACTATAACTAGACAAATTTTTTAACCTTACATAAATTCTTCATTTTATTATCTTTTGACAATTTAATACCTAGAAAGGTGTCTCCTGGGAGCTTCAAAGATTAGAATGTTCAATATGCTCATACCTACTAATTATCTGCAGCAATCTGGTTCCAAGAAATCCTATGATGCTGCAAGTATCAGCAATTAGTTGCTGTGAGACAAAATATTCTATCCATTGAAAAGAAGGCACCTAGGTCTCAAGTGTCTAGAGGCAGAACTTCTGCAGCTGTAAGCCAGTACTGTACACTAATTTCAGAACTCTTCCAAACAATTCATGTATTATTCTCTACCACTCTTCAGTTACAGCACAGGATTTTTTTCCCTTGGTGCACTACAAGTCTTCTGTACCCGGTACAGGAGTAGTGCCCATTCAACCAATACCTGTTTTTTCTTCTTGATGGGATATCACAGAATCACAGAATATTAGGGATTGGAAGGGACCTCAAAAGATCATCTAGTCCAATCCCCCTGCCAAAGCAGGAACCTAAACGAAATCACACAGGAAGGCGTCCAGGCGGGTTTTGAATGTCTCCAGAGAAGGAGACTCCACAACCTCCCTGGGCAGCCTGTTCCAGGGCTCTGTCACCCTCACCGTAAAGAAGTTTTTTCTCAAGTTTAAGTGGAACCTCCTGTGTTCCAGCTCACACCCATTGCCCCTTGTATATGTATATCCTATATATCCTTGTATATGTATATCCTATACATATATCTACACGCGTGTATGTGTGTGAGTGAAAGAAACAGAGGGAGGATGCAGGTATTAGGGTTAAGAGGAATTTTGTTGCTGTCTTCAGCTATCCCAGTGGTAGATACAGAGAAGATGGGGCTAGGCTCATTTTGACAGTAATCACAGTTTGACAGTAATCACAAGAATAACAACAGATACAAGCTACTGCAAGGGAAACCCCAACAAATACTGGGAAAAATACTAGGTTCACAATCAAGTCAGACAAACACTGGATGAGGTTATCCAGCAAAGCTGAGGAATCTCCATTTATAGATACGTTCAAAATGCAAATGAACAGGCCCTCAGCAATCTGATCTCAATTGGCTGCAGAAGGAGCTGGACCAGATGCCCTCCAAAAGTCCCTAAACTACTGCATGACTACAATTCTATCCTGGTTCATCTCTTTCAGAAAGGAATAATTACTGAAATTAATCCAAGGAAATTTCTCAAACACAGTCTTTAAAAATATAATGCACTAACTATTTATAAAGCAAAAAACATAACCAGGAAATTGATACTCACCAAAGAGCTGGACTGGTGTAAATGGTATGGTCTGAGCAAGTCTCATTAAGTTGTTTCTTTCAACAGCTGCAAACAACACAGAATTCACTACTATAATGAATAAACAACAAGCTGGTTGAGTTTCAAAAACATCTGGCAGTGCTTTACTGTAGTGTACAAAGCCAAGGAGGCTGCAGTGTTATTCTGTGTCAGATCCGATCACCATTCTACCCAGCTAGCAACTCCTCTTTGCACGCCCATGGTATCTCACAAGCATCAGCTGCCACTGTTTCCCCCATTCATTGATTCTCTTCTTCCAAGCAAATAGGCTCTCTAGGATAAGCCCCTTGCATCCGGGCTAGAAGGACTGCTTCTGCTAAGTCTTCATACTCTTCCTTCCACCAAGGGCTGCCGCTACTTCCTGCTGCTGTCGGCTCCAGTGCAGCAACATTTGCACTGTGCCACTGCAATGCATTGGCCCCCGTTGCCCTCACTGCCTGTCTCTATCAGGCTCAGAAGAACCTGGTGATCTAGCAAGGCATCATAGAAAAATCCAAGCTTGCCCTGGACAGAGCACTGTTTCTTTCTCTGGGCTCCTTGCCAAATAACATTAGTAACTCTATTATATGTCCCTAATTGGCAGCTTATTTCCCAGCCAAACACCTTCAAAACTTCAGAGCACCAAATAAATATTTATGGATTTGTCCTCACAATGACTCCGTTATCAGGAAGGGGGAGAGAGGTGTGACATAAGCCACAAAGAGGGTAAGACCAGAACAAGGAGGCAACTCAGATGCCACAGTGCTGACTGCCTAATTTCCTTATTCGGTGACTGAAGACAAAATTAGCATCCAAAGCAGAGAGTGAACCACAGCAGAGCTGTGTTGCTCTACAAAGCAACCAAAAAGCCCTGATAGAAGACTATTCCAGAGCTTGGACACTGTCTGTCCTTTTTTTAAAGACTACTTCTGTGAGTAGAAATGAATTACAGCTTATTTAGCCCAGAAGGAGAGAGCAAAGGGGATCTATGACATGCCAACCCATGAATTAGGATCCTCATTTGATAAGATCAGCATTTCAGACTCCACTTTCAAGGCTTGTTTACATCTTCCAGATTCAACAGGCCTTGGTTAATATGCCTGAGGACTTTTGGAGCTTGGACTGAAAATCAAGATGTCCTCCCCTGGTGCCTCACTAGGACCGTGCCCTAGTAATAAAATTAGTGCAGAGCAGGGACAGGGACATGAACAGGGGAGCTGCCAGATCTGTGCCATCTGTCAGAACCTGCCAGCACTCACCCTAGAGCTTCCAGAAGTAATGTGACCAGTGATCACCAGCTGCTGAACTTGAGTCAGAACTCAAGTTCTTTTGGGTGTGCAGAGAGGCAGAACTGTATTTGCCTGCACAACATGATAGCAAAAATAATGCATAAGCAGTATATAGTGCAGTATTTTAGTATAAAATTTCTGGGCTTAGTCAGCTAAATTCTTCCTGAGGAAAGAAAACCTACACTGGAAATCTCTTGAGACATTTGTCAACTCATGTCAACTCACTGTCATCTGTGCTAAAAAGTCCTACCTAATCTCAAATAGTATGCCTGACAAGAGCCAAATTAGTCCCTGCAATGATGCCACCATGTCAGGGAAATTACTCCCATAGACTGACCACAAACCAAGAGGTATTATTCCCAGTGAAAATCGCATAGTTTGTTGAACTTCAGGAGTCTGCTAGTGCTTCTGGTTTACCCAGGCTTCCCTTTAAAGGAGGCCAAGTCCTGTAGTCAACAGAGACATCTACTGGCAAGCTCTCCACAGTTCTCCTCCTGGAAAAACTGAAATCCAGGCCTTGTGGGAAAAACTGTGCCTACTCAGTTCAGGAAAAGACAGGACTGCAGGCAATTAGCATCCAAATGATTTATTCCCTGCCAGACTTCCAGGAGTTCATAGGTTTATAAACATAGATTAAGTAGTACAGGACCAATTAACTGAAGAAACCAATTCCATAACACACAAAGGAGGATACGGGAGGTGGGAAGGGAAGTGACAGCTATAAACGAGTGCTTCTTCTGTTCCCCCAGGAATCAGGGCTCTATTCATTGTTTCCACTGATATTTTGAAAGTTATTATCTACATTCTGCTCTGCATTTGTCAGAAATACTCGGAATGGAGCAATCAGCAACAAGAAAATAATTCATAATGTCCTTACTGGAGCATTAGGCATGAATTAATACAGAACCTTCTTAGCAGTGGGCAATTGTGCAGCTCTTCAAAGTGAAAATCATAGAGGATGACAAGGGAAGAACTACTGTTCTTTTTAATTTGTTAAATTACTCAGCTATCATTCTGGTGCCTCTTGCTTACCTGAGTAGTGATGATGCAGATCTTGAGATGTTTTCAAACAGGTGAAGCTATCTGAAATAATGTTTAAAGGAACATTACATTAATCATTACAGCAGAGATAAATGCATGATTTTTTAATTCCTTCCATCTGAGAGTTTGTCATGAAAAAGATTAATCAAGATTACTGTCTCAGCATTCTAAAGAGGAGAATTACTAATAGGCTTTAACTACGTTATAATGTACAGTATATTGGCAGATTTCAGTCATCAATGTAATATAGCCAGATGACTTATTTATTCAGCGAAATGGTGAGAAACTTGTGATATTAACCTCAAGGACATGTAGCTTCTCTAAACCAAGTACACCTCTGGGATATTAAAAGCACTTTGCTGTCCATTATGCTTTATAGCCTCCCAAAGGCATGGTTTTTCCAACTCCATCCTGAGTCATTAAGCATTCCATTAACTATAGTATTACAACAAAGTTATAATAATACTGTTCCATTAACCCACAACATCTAAAATGCTGTTAAAATATAAACAGCAAACCAGTTTCTGTGGTTACCTATTTAACAGGAACTGACAGATCAGATGTCATCCAAAAACCTTGTTTTATAAAAAGTCTTTTTAATAAACCAAGATTAATGAGCATGTTTCCACTAATCAGATGAAATCACTTTGTTCTATTGGAAAATAATCCTTCAAAATGCCAGATTTCAGAAAATATGTCTACTGTACTATTTTTAATTTTGAAAAATGAGATAATCAAAACTGAATCTTCAGCAAAATATTTGAACATTACACTTTTTACACTGGTGTGTAAAAAGTTTATATATTTGCTTCCACTCTCTTTTCTAGAGAAAGAGATCTTAAACAAAAAAAAACCATAAATAGGATTTGGGGGAAGGACCAGCATTTCCACTGAGTGCCCTTGGTGATTCAAGGTCCCTTTTGCTCTCTTTTTTGCTGGACCCAATTAGTTCTGTTGCATTTTGTATACTGTAAAGCAACAAATAGGAAAAGGGGAACGGAGGCTAAGTCATTCCTTTTGAGGTTGGAAAACTGGACTTTAATCAAAGCAATGGTGCACTCTGGAGAGAAGCCCCACCAACTCACTGCGCTGGCAGCAGTGTGCTTCAGCACTGCCATGTTTTGTGCACAGCTGGACCCAGAAAGAGCAGTGCTTGAAGGGGAGATAAGTCAAAGAGCAACTCATTTCTGCATCACCACTAGCCTAAAAAAGAGATAGATCCAGCTGCTGAGGCTCTTACAGCGAAGTGGTATGTCAGGAAAACTGGAAGATAAACTAAAAGGCAACAAATACAAGTGAAGTGAACTGGCACTCTACTTTTTTGGAACAAAAACATTCCTTACTATAAAATTGAATTTCTTCATTTGGCATTTTGCCATAAATTCAGTCCTTCACTGATTTAATAGTTTCAGGGTAACCACATAAGCAGAGGAATTGCACCAAACTGCAACTTGAAAAATCAAACTTATATTAAAATTTTGTGTCACAATCTATCCTCACATATACACCCTGCTTTAACTCAGCAGATCTCTTGGGTTGCCAGGGACGAATGCAGCACCATCATCTTAAAGAGTTTCTTCCTGATGAAAAGGACAACATTACTGAGCAGACTAGAGTAAAAATAGATATTTTTTCTTTTGAGATTTTGCAGTTATCATGAGAAAAACCTGTCCTTATTAAAAAATCTTTCACTTTAAAGTACAAATTAGTAAGTAACATATGAAACAATAGTTGAATTTTTTTCACATAACCCTCCAACTATAGTAAATTAAATTCCTTCTGGATTTTGTAGTTCAGAATTGTCACAGTGGAATTGCAAACAGGAATGAAAATGAGTGATAAGCATACAAAAACTTACTCTCAGTTTCCTCTGAAGTTCTCAACCTGTTTAAAAGCAAACATTTGATATTTTACTCCAAAATTTCTGACACTAAGCTAACACTGATACACAAAACCAGACATCATCTATGTGAAGGCAAAGCTCACAAAGGTTTGGTCAGTAATCATAAAAGAAAATAACCCTTAGTGCAACTTTGTTCATTGCAACAATGAGCGTATAATCTTCAGCTACTGAAGAACAGCCACATTTTTCTGCATGTTTCTTTCTCTGCTTTATGTTGCACTGCTCTTACAATTCTGCACCGCTGTTCACATCATTTACACTGCAATAACAGTATCAGTTAAAGCCCACTTCAATCATATACTCAGTTACTCATTTTTCAATCAACCCTGAGATGTATTCAGAGCTACAGATGCCATTACCTTTGCTTGCACAAAACCAGACTTTTTAAACTGACGGTCATTTGCATTAGCAAGGCTGCAGAGAGGCTACAGCATCAGCATTGATGTTAAAGTAATCTTCGTTACAGAAGACAGCAGATATGATTCACCTCACAAACCAGAGAGATCCCACTGAAGACAACAGACTAAGTGACAGAATCAGGCCACTCCATGGCCTGTAAGTCCTACTGGTAAGTATGTAGTTTGCCTACTGCCAATAAATTACTGGAGGGGGGAACAAAACCCACACCACAGGATGGGTAAAAAACACTGTATATTTTTTCCTCTTCCCATGGTGAAATCACAAGGGATGTGACAGGTTTCTAGTGTCTTTTACTTATTACATCCATGGTGTTAGTAAGTAAGAGAGATATAAAGGGGGGGGTGGGAGGGGATGGGACACAATAAAAAAACCCACAATAAAATTGAAAACACTTTTTAAATCAGTACTTCCTCTAAATATAATCAAAGCCTAAGAACTATTGAAGGCCCATTAAGAAAACCAATCTAAATATTTTGTAAATGTGAAGACTCAGTATGAATGAGATTAATCAGAGAATGACAGAAGCCTTCAGGAGTTGCTACCATTTTAATTATTAAAAAAAAAAAAAAAAAAGAAACATGCAATTTGTACTGCAGAAGCAAATGCAACTTTTCATGCTCACTAGATTGGAATAATTACTAGTTAAAGATGCCATGGTGATCTTGGTGACTGAATTAGAAAATTGGACTATTGTTAGAATAAAAAGGGGTGTCTATTCCACCTAAAATTATACACTTCACTTAAATTGATCTCCTTTATTTCCATTAATAAGGCTTCATTTAAAGAATGTTAAACAGATTGAATTGCCTTAACTCTTCATTTCACATAAATTTATCATCCGAAATATATTGCAGAACTGAAGTGGAAAGCTGCAGAAAGTATAGAAGTCTCTCTAAAAGCACGTGTTGAATATCTTAATATACTAATAATACATACGAGGAGTTTCTGTTTAGATTACTTTTCTTGGTGGTTCCAAATACACTATTACTCAAATCCTGTAAAGAAGGAAGACACTTTTACTGGTAAAATCTGCATATCACTGTCATAGAAACACTGTGCAAAGGTACAATCTTGCAAACACTTATTGTTATGCTTATTTTTAACATGAATAATGACACTGACAAGCAGGTGAATCACAGTATTGCCATACCTACACTAAAAAGGATCTAATTTGCTCACATTACAGTATTCCATGCTGTCTCCACATGTTTGAATGAAGTACTCAGGTATCCACCTATGTCTCAGTACACTCATAAAAGTGTGTTAAAGGTCTGCTAATATGGACAGTATTAGAGAACTCTCTTTATATTGGAAAATTCCAATTTAAGGATAGGCTTTATAGCTGTTGAAAATAAAATGCACCCTAAACCTCTATAATAGAAGGTAACAGACTAAGCAGCTTCCAGTGATACTTAGATCACATGTTTTCCTGGCCTTATAGTTAAAGAAATACTCAAATAGTCTTTTAAAATTACAGTCATATTAGGAAAAATTGGGCCAGCTGGGTCTTCCTAATGTGCTAGTCAGAAATGGTATTGTTCTTCTGAATAGTAGTCAGGAAGATTTCAATCCTCAAAATAAACAGAGTGCACCCAAAAAGTTCAAAGACAACAAAGTTTAAAGACAAATGAACTAAAATTCAGCTTTAATATCAACTTAAACTTAACTCACAATTTTTTTTTATTTCACTCATTTTCACCTTGTAGATTATTTTGCAGATGAAAAAATCTTTCACAAAACCTTCTGACACACACACTTGCTTTGCTCCCTGCTACCCATCAGGAGGGATTTCTGAACCACCGGTGTTCAATGGGTAAATCTGAGAAGCATCACTTTAGGAAAAAATAATTTCTTTAAAATATATCATACTGCAAGCAGAATGGTTGGATGCAGCAACATTGTTACATCTCAGCAATATATGTAAACTCTCATAACCCAGACAGGACTTAAGGAGAGGCATAGCCACTCAGTGGGTATTGGAGGCTGTATCTTGAAAGAATAAATAATTTTAAGTTGGCATTCTGGAAGTGACTAGTTTCGGCCTAGCTCCAATCCTGCTGTAATTACTGGAATTTTTCTGAGAATTTTAAAAATCCCACACTTGACTTCAAGCCAAGATATCTTAATACAAGTTTTGAAGCACCAGATTACTTGGTCCCTTTACACAGTTTCCCCACTTGTACCTTTATTTTGCTTGTGTGACCCTGTGTTTCACATTTCGAAGATTTTTTGATTTACACTTCAAGCTCAGGATTTATGGAATACAAAATCAGTAAATTTATTCCTATTTCTCTGTCTCTCTGCGCTTTCATACAAAAACCTGCCATTATAAAAATTTAGATTCAAGCTCTCTTCCACGGTATTTGGTATTCAAATTCTACAGCACTTAGAACAGCAGATCTGAAACTATCTGATTTATTTTTATTCCTTAAAACTTGTAACTAATTTACAGTGAAAAATAAGCTAGGCTTTTAAAGATCACCATTTTAATAATCAAGAGTGCCATAAATAAAACAGGGAAGGAAGGGTGCTGTTGAAAAAAGAAGAGGAAAGGAATATTTCACAGTTTCTTTTCTTAATTTATTCTTTGTTAATTTTCTTTCATACCTCTGAGCTACCCCTATACAATGTAGTGAAAGGTACAGTTTCTTCCATTAGCTACATAATTTTAAAGCAGATAGAAGTTTCTCTAATCCAGATTCCTGCCCCCAGTTTTCAGGAAATATAAATTGGTCTAGCCCCATCAAAGTCAATGTGCCTGTGCCAGGATGTGTAATCTTAGGTCTTACCTCTTGAGAACGCCTCAGGTAATCACAGAATGGTAAGGTACACCTACTGATGTCTTTATTTCTCATTTTCTGGTGCATGTAACTGAGACGTTCCAAACCTAAGCAAGAGAGCAGGTGTCAGCTATTTCCATAGTGTAAATGAACAGCTCTACTGCTACAAACTAAATACCTATGCAGTGCTATAAAATAAATATCTATGTACCATATTGCCCCAGCAAATGCATAATGGGCTATAAAAGCAATAACAGAATTTTATAGGGTTAAAACAGACTGTTTCCATTCTTTGTCAGCAGATTTTGGGGGAGCGCAGCCCTTCCAGATCATGCTGTGCTGAGTCACAGCATTCCCTGGTGCTTCTCCCAGCAGCTCGCAGGATGAAGCCAGTGAGCTGCATCACAGCAAAGCTGAAAGATCAGATGAACTGTGCAAAGGATTTCTGAGAATGAAAGAGCTGGAGAATTACTAAAAGAAGAGTAAGAGTGCCATTCTCTTTTCATTCCAACAGAGATGATACAGAATTCATTTCTTCCCTTTGGAGGATGTGTTTCTGAGCAATGAGTAATGAATAATGCATGCAGAGGATCTGCCAGCAGATACAGTACCACAGCACTGCCTGTAAGTGCCTGAGAAATTCACAGGAGAGTTTATTTTTTGCAATTAGCCAGGATGCCACTTAGAAGACACCTCAGGAGAGGAGACAAGGATGTCAACCTCCTTGCTTCCCACTTATTCCTGAGGATTAGTACTCTACTATCTCCCACATGAGACAGGCAGCACTCCTGGAAAGATTTAACTGACCTTCCATCTAACCTATGCCCCTTTTGCCTCTGCAATGACTCAGCAAATAGTCAAGTTGTGTCTGCCTGCAACATAATTCTAATTCTGAAAAAATTATGAGGTAAAAGTGATGGATGACCCTTTGAATTTATGCATTTTTATTTACTGCTTCTTTTTAAAAGCTGTTCTGAATTTCACCATCTGCAAAATATCACTTACTTAGCTGACTGAAATTAGACACAGTTAACCAGTTCTTGCTGTGTTTCTCTTGCTCATCCCAGACATTGATCTCCATGGGCTCTGAGCTCACTTGGGTGTTCTGGGGACAATCATCCACTCTAATCACCTGGCAAAACACAGACAAAAAGACACTTGATTTATAACATGACTAGCACCTCTGCATTTCCTCTGACAGCCTATGACGTGGCCTTTCAGAGCACCGCTAAAATGCCAATGACTGAACTCGCTCCAGCTGAGAAACAGATTTTCCCATTTTTGTTACAAGTTGCAGAAGACACATCGCTTTTGTCCAGTAAATACTACTTAGGAAAGATACAGCTTTTTAAAATGAAGTTTGGAGTCCCTCAGAATACCTCTTATTAGGTTTCAAAGTTCAAGTCTAAGATCTGTTGCTGACCTGAGCATCTTATGTAAACAAATCAGTCTTTGGCTTTCATCTCATTAAACAGAGATAAATCTTTTCAGCTGACAAAGATCCTGGGAATCTCTTTATAAGTTTACAAATAGATTTTCATATATGTATACATACAGTTATGAAAGTTGCCCCATACACATCACACAATCAATATGCTGTCTGCAATGTGCTAAACATTTGATGGATTCAAGGAAAAGATTGCAGGACTCTTGTAGGTAGGAGACAAAATTAAGAGGCCTGGATTGCTTGTTTACAGTTGCACACCATCTGGATGGGGCTCACCACTCCTTCAGTCTGTCCTAGACCACATGAGGCCTCTCCAAATCCTCCTGCCAGCTGAAGTGCAAGGACTGATTCCTTTCTGTGTAAAATACCTCTGGTATACTACCTAGCAAAGTCCATAGATTCAACATGTTCAAAACAAATCCCACACATTCAAACAAAAGTGAAATTAAACCAAAAAAAGATGCCCCAATTTGTGTGTAGCATTTTAAATGTATATATAAGCCACACGGCAGCAGTGCTCTTAATGAATGATAAAGACAGCTATGGGATACGTGATTCTCTTGCATCTGCACATACCGGCACCTGAAGGGGTTTTTGATTCTTCTCTCCTCTTCCAGACTTTCTGTCTCTGTTTTGTTGTTTAGCCTTTGTTGCCTCACTGTGGTGTAGCTCACTGGATTGTAAAGACTCTGTGGGAAGGAGTCAAAAAACCAAAAAACAGCATTAAGCCACAGAGCTTTGGTTTACTAAAAGAAGATCTGGTAAGACTGAGAGCTGGCAGATGCCCAAAGCAAGCTGAGAAAGAATTGGGACACCCAAAGCTAATACTCATGCAGTTCAGTGCAAAGACGTGCACCATCATAAGATATAAAACAACAAATGTTATCAATGTTATCCATCATCTCGTACTATTCATACTCAGAACTGGAATCTGATATATTTTAGTTAGTGGTAAGCAAACTTGGTAGTGGAGAGGGAGGTTTTTAAACTGGCTATAAAAATGTATACCTCTTCATTCTCCATCCTTCTGACCTATGATACTGCTAATGCATCTGTGAGGGATTGTGTAATTTGTTTTGGCTACTGCAACTCTTCCGTTACAACCCCAGGGCAAGAGACTTCCCTTGAAGCAAGCACAGTCCCTCCGTCATCCTGGCTGTGTAGCCACAGCCACAGCGATCTCATGAGAAGGGGATAATCAGGGAGGTTGACACACAGCTGTGGTGCAGCTTGGATACCAGGCACATTTCAGAAATACCCTAGAGCAGTCAGACCCAGCACAAAGAAAGTTAAGGAGTACCTCTGGACTTTCTGCTACTACCCTCAACTGCAGCTAATACCACCTGGGTGCAAAGGAAACATTTTTATAATACCTTGGGCTCCTCAGTAAAAGATACTGTACAGGTGTAGTGTTTTATAATTACCACCTATGATGCTGCAGGTTTTCCCTCTTTTCTCTTTCTTAGGGGAATGTAAGCTGTTGCTCCGGCAGAAACTCCATTCCCTCCAGAGTGGTCTGATCCAGAAGGAGGTGCTGTGTTTTAGCTTGTTCTGAGAGATGATGCTGCTGTGACATGACCTGTCAGAGTTGTGGGAGAAGGACTTCGATTCTCTTATCTGAACATGCCTGGGAGGACTACCCGTGCAATTGCAGTCACTGTTATAGGCAGAATGTATGCACCGGGCCTTCTTTTGTTTCTTCCCCGAGCTGAAAACCCCTTTTTCATCACCTTCAGAGAATCCCCAGTTTACATAACCACCTTCAGTTTCTTCCCTGTCATCACAGGAGAGTGCTGCATTCTGTTCAACATCTAGTGATGGCTGGACACCAAGGGGATGATCAGCCTCTATGGCATTAGTCTTTTCTGATGGCAAATGAATAACAAAGTTTCTCTGGCTCCATTGATAATCTTCTGGCTCTTTTCCAATCAGGCTAATGCTCTGCAAGTTTTGCGGCACCACAATGCTACTTTGCAGTTGATCTCTGAACACATTGTCCCTGTACTTGGCAGGAGTGCTCAGAAAGGACAAATTTAAGGTGAAATCCTCAGAGAAAGACGCTCCCTGATGGTCAGGGGGCACCAGCAAAAATTGTCCATATCTAGGGGTTGACTTAGTCTCAGAGGATACTCCTGAAGTGAGTGTGTCACTTTCTATTTCTGTCTTTCGAGAGCTATCTTCTACTGCCTTGTTACTCTCGGTCCTCAATGTGTGGTCTTTGCATTCTGATGGCCACTGACTCCTTACCATGCTCCGTAAGAGGGATGGTGGCATGCTGTAGTAGTGGCATTTCTTGTCATATAAACACTCCAGGCTGCTCAAGGTCTTGGAATAGAGAGCATTGCTCCAGCTATGGGGCAACTTCCTAGAAGTTCGATGTTTTGTGTCAGCCAGTAAGGCTTCTTCCACCTGCAAGGTGTCTACAGCTGAAAGCACTTTCAGGATGTCAACTGTCAAGGCAGACAGGTCTTGCAAATGTCCTAGCTGGCTGTCCAGGGAGAGTAAAGACTCCTTGATATAAAATACCTTCTCATGCACTTCTTTAAGCTGCAGAAACATCTCCTCCACTCTAGGTGGAAAAAGAAAATATAATCGAAATACCAAAACACAGATCTTTATTTCTGTTTGCCAGATGATTAAGGAAGCCATTACCACATTTCAAAAAGTCAGTGTTTTAAACAGCCCTTTTAAAAAAAAAAATAAATTGTGACCTCCATTCCCATGAATATCTATATTTGACAAAACCCATCCAGATTTATAACATGTCATTCAGATTACTGGGCCAAGAGCCAAGGATTTTTATGGAAACAGGCTTTGTGTTCAAGGAGTATCTATTTTAAAAACTGCTATTTTACTACAAAAGTCTGTTCCTTGCCATAGAACTGCTAAACCATGGACAGTAGGAAATAGCACTGGAAATGCTGCATTAACTATTGCTGTAAATTAAAATGCTGTAAAGTATACTTCTTGTCAGCCGGTCATCCTGCATTTCTACATTTCTTGTGCAAGCATGAGAAGGACAAGGCTCACACAAACCTGCAGATACTCTTGCAGTTTCTCAAATACTGGAGAATTCTGGGAAAAGGTTCTTCCAAACAACCTATTTGGCCTCTCTGAACAAATTCTGTATGTCTAATGCCAGCAGTTATCTTCAGGTAAAATCCAACTGCCCAAAAAGCAAAGCCTTTTTTTATGGTCTTCAAATCCCTAGTGAACAGTGCAAGAACTTCTTGGCCTGGAATGATGTAGTTTTAGCCAAATAATTATCTTCATATTTCCTGGAGATACTCTCTCTCGTGCTCTATCATTAAGACAATGATAAACTAGCCACAGGCAATATGCAAAAGTTGCTCCTTTCCTTTGTCACTGGGTAACTAAAAGATGCAGTATTTAATCAACGGCCAAATAAAATTGAAGATAAGTGTTATAAAATATTTTATTAATCTAAATTAATTTCTTATATTAATGTTATGTAATGCTGTTAAATGTGTTTCACCTTTGCACTCAGAAATAAATTCCTTTCCAGATCTATATTTATCCACCAAATGAAATCTTCTTGCTGTAGTCGATTCTGCAGCCTTTGAACAAAGCTACTTGTTTTATTTCTTTTACAGGGGACATTCATTTTGCTTGTGTGTTTTGTTTTGGTATGCAGAAAATAGGATTATGAACAGGCAAAGATTAAGAGGCTATCTTTCTCTAGGCAAAACAAATTTATTAGATGAGATTGGTATTGGCATTCAGTAAGATTTTTTATAGTGCCCACTTTCTTTAATACTTCCCATTAAACTTCATGGCAGCTTTGCCATTGATTTCAACAGAAATCTAAATTAGGCCAATACTGAGAGTTTTGAAATCCCGTTGACAATTGTGTATTGACATTTTGCAAACCGAGACACTACATTACAGATAATACTACAATGGTTATATGGTTATTTCTGTAAATAGCAGTTATACTCAATCACAAGCAATACTCTCACAGTTTTCCTACACTGCTGAGTGTTTAAATAAAAATATGTATCCTATGCGGTACACCAATATGTTTTTGTGGTGCTACCTGGTCTGCAAAAGTGAAACTGAGCAACACGTTAGTGTACCTCTTTAACCACCTGCACACATCTAGGGGTGCAATTCTGCCAGTGAGGCTTCCCAGCCAGGCATGTGTCCTGGTTTTGCCAGGATAGAGTTAATTTTCTTCTTAGTAGCTAGAATAGCCATGTTTTAATTTCAGTATGGAATTTGTTATGAGAAGAACAATCATAAAGCACTAATGTTATTAGTTGCTGCTGGAGCTCAAGGCCACCGTGTCTGGATGGTTCACAGCGGCATTAGGACTGTGAAGGAGAAGTGCAGTGAATTGCAAATCCCAGAACTGGCATTTGGATGTGCCAATGAGATATTCCATATCACATCCAGTATATTAACCCCGGTTGACCGGAAGACGGGGTATTCTCTTGGGGACCACTTGGGCTCACTCTTCTGGGGTTTCGGTTTTGGGACTGTCTGCTCCAGGATCACTGGTTGGCACAGGCTGGGCACTGGTCAGAAGGCAGTGAGCAATTGCACTGTGCATCACTCATTTGTATATTCTGTTATCACTGTTGTTATCATTATAACTTTATTTTAATTAGTCAATTGTTTTTATCTGAACCCATGAGTTTCCTTGCCTTTTTCTTTCCAATTCTTTCCCCTACTCCCTGGGCAAGAAACCACTACAGCATGCCATGCAGTTCAAACAGATACATGACATCTCCATCAAATTAGCAAAGACCTATGCGTGTTATTGCTTCTCACATTCACAGTGGCCATAACCTGTTCCAAAACTATTAGCTTACCAAAGTCTTTTTATACGATAAGCGTATAGCAAGAGCACAAATCTGCAGCAAAACACACCTTTCTGTTGTCAGACGGATCCTTTCACTGTCACTGGAACTCAGGCTTTCACTCTTCTCATGAAAGTATTTTTCCACACACTGTTCCTCGAAGTCATGGAGTTTCTTTAACTCCTCATCACTCAGGTACAACTCTGAACAAAGGAAGTAGGCCTTAGTATGAAGCATGCTGACAAATGCACTTTATAAACATCCACAAGAAAAAAGCTGTCAGAAGAAGGATTCCTCCCCTGCCCTTGACAAGAAGGAATCAGACCCAACTCCATGAATTTGGCCTCAGGTATAAAGACTCAACATGCCAAATACATGTAAACATATGTATTATTTTTCCTTAGACAGGGAGCAAAACCACACTTGTAATTCCAGTGCACTCAGTTTTAAAACCTCAAAAGTACATACCCAAATAGCTGCTCACAAAGATGTATGTTCTCCCAAACTTTTTCCTGTATTTTGTTATAAATGAGTGACTCATAAAACTTACATATAGATATGTAAGACTTACAAATATTTCACTATAATTTGGTACAGGTATTCATTTAGAACTAGTCACCTATAACAATTACAGTCCTTTCAGATACTCAAAGCTACAAAGCTTTTTTTGACCTAATTGCTTCACACGTTCATATGTATAAAACATTAAGCAAGATTACTGGGCAAAAAAGAACACATTCAAAGGTTTAAAACTCCACAGTGTGGGCTGCTTATGATGCTACTCTTCTAGCACACCAAGACTTCTGAGCGAACAGATCAATTATAAGTCAGGTTGAAGAAACAAATAGGGTGGAAAGTTGCTTCTCTGATCTAAATGCTACATCTTCCAAGCTCCTTTTTTCTTTCCTTTTTCACATACCAGCATCCTCACTGTACTTGCTAAGGGGGTATCTGTGCCAAACCACATGGCAGTGTTTGCTACAAGCGTGTACTGCTCGGCTGTAACACACACCTCAGCAGGGAAGTCCCCTCGCAGTATTCTGGGGTTCCTGTCTCACTCCGAATGAGACAATCAACTCCGAGGCTCTTTTACCCCTTAACTCATCTGTGTTCTGGCCTCCAAGATTTCACTCTTTGTAACTTGGTATTTTCAGTGATTTTCCACAGGGTGGCACTGGATCCTCATTGCTAAAACCAGTTAATTCTAGCCATACCAAAATTTAAGTAGAACAAACCTATCAAACAATGAATAGGCATACAGAAAAGGGACAAAAAGGTATATGAACAGGAAAAAAAGTTTCTTTCTGGGAAGTGTAGGCAAGGCATGAGCCCTCTTCTATTTTAGATGTGCTAAGCGGTGTTTAACTTTTCCTTGTGCCTAATGCACCTTACAAGGAAGACATCCTCTACACTATGTCAGTGTGAGAGATTGAAAGAGTTAATGTATGCCTCAAACATTGTAGCAAGACAAGTTCTGGACAGCAACAGGTTCTCCATAACAAAAGTAACAGTAAGAGAAGGAGTTAGCTGGATACAGAAGATGTGTAGGAGGACAATGCAGAAGGCAGGATGCAAAAGGCCTGTTGGAGGATGTCCAGTTCTGTGTTCTGACATGCTGAGCAAAACACCACTATCTATGGCCAAAGGTCACACAGAGTTCATTGGAGGAAGGGGCTCCACAACCACCAAGATTGCCCCAAAAAGACCCTCCGCAACCACCCCTCACAGCGGTGCCTATGCAGTTGGCCAAGAGTTACATCAGCTTCGCTAGAGGCAGGGGGCTGACCTGGATAAAGACACAAACTAAGGCGGCCACGTGTGGGTCCAAAACAGAGATCAGCCTGTCCTGCTGCATGTGTGCCCACCAGCAGAGGATCGCCCCATCCATGTCTGAGACCATCGAGGGATCCCTGGAGATATCTTTCCTTATCCCTTCCCTTTCCTCTCTCCCTTTTCTTTTCCCCCCTTTATAGATTGCTCCAATTAGGAACCCGCAGTGCCAACATTTTTAGGTTTTCCAAGTTTAGATTATTTTCATTAGAAATAAAATGTGTGAGTAATCATTTGGTGTCATTTCACCTTACTTTAGCTCTAGGGGATTTACAGAACTTTAGCCGCTCTCCTCCCACCTCAGAGGTGGGAGGCAACAGTTAGTAACTTATATTACGCATGTGCATAAAATAAGCAGTGGCACTTCAAAGGCAGGCTGATGTATCCAGTCATGGTGGAGGAGCTGAGCCTAGGAGCAGCAGTAAATCAGCTCAGCATTGATTAGTTATCCCATTTTTTAACTCTATAACCACCTGTGAATGTGCCAGGTATCTTCAGGTAGTTCTTGTTCAGCAAAGAAAATCCTAAATGAAGCATAATCTAGGCAGGGTCTGCTCACCTCTGTTACTATGCATCAAGCAGGTATGTTGCATCAGAAAGGATGAGGTTACCACCAGAAGCCTCTCCTCCTCCCCATTCCCCTGCCTCACCCCACCAACCACCAAGCCCCTCTGTTAAGTATTCATTCCCATCTCAACACCTTGTGGTGCCCTCCGCACAATGACTAGAGCTGCTCCTGGCAGAGCTGCAGGAACTGGCAACATTGGGACAAGGAACTGGCATCACCTTAAAGAGGCAGTAGGAAAGAGCCTGGAATGGAGAAGTCCAGGTTGAGAAGAGTGAAGGAGGTGAAGTTAAGGTGCAGTGATGAGCCAATGCATAAAGGGAAGGATGCAGTGAGGAGGTGGGAGGCCCCTATGCTCTCTCTCTCTCTCTCTCTCTATCTGCCATCACCACATCTCCTCTGTCCTCAGGCTGTGTGGCTACTTTCTCTGGACAATTACAAAGGAATTTTGTACAGGACAAATGTACAGAAATGCATACACCCATTATTGTTTACTTTCCTTCAAAATAAGGCTATCCTATCCTACAGAAAAAGCCGCTGTTCCTTTATTTCAGCTCCGAGTTGTGCTGTATCTTGATGGATCGTATGTAAAAGAGCAAAAGCCAAATACAAAGCAAAGCATTTCCCTAGTCACTTTTTCCTGCAAGAGTTCTCAGACAGGCAAGTTAAATTCTAGGGGGTTTTGGAGGAACTGAGCTACAAAGTGATGGGACACTGGCAAAACACACATCAGCTATTTCTTTTGGTCCCCAGCTTAATTCTGCTTACTTAGTCCAACGTCACCTTCCTCTTGATCCAGCTCATTTGGGGGTCGATGGTGGAAGATGCAGTTTATTAGGAGTCCAATGTGGCTCAAGAGGATGAAAGGTGGAGGCAGCCATGGCTTCTCATGGTAGGTCATAATGTAGCGATACCGGTTGTACTTCCAGAGCTTGTTCGAAATGGATTTCAAATCATAATAAACATTACTGAGAAGAGAGATAGAGGGGGAAAGAGGGCAAAACATTCCTGTGAGGAATACTCCCAAAACAGCACAAGATGGCTGTCTACAGATCTCATTTGACACTGAAGAAAAGTCCCATCCCTCCAGTAAAGTAAATCAGCTTAGCAACTTTAATTTAACAAAGCAGCAGCATGTGCCTGAAGCTAGTGCACTGAGAATGAGATCTTCAAAGCTGCCTAAGGGATTTGGAGATCCAATTCCCATTAACATTAATGGGAACTGGACAAAAAATATCCCTGAAGTGGCTCTGAAATCTCAGCCAGATTATTTAAACTTTAATACATAGCCTAACTGAGAATTCAACATTGTCTACCTCTTTGGACTGGATTAAATGTAGGAGTCAGACTAAGGGAAGAGTGTGAACAAAATGGTTCTGATGCTTTTTGGTGCACACCCCCTAAAAGAAATACTTGCTTCAAGAGGCAGCTACACAAGTATTTCTTCTGCAGGGTACTCTTTGGAGCCATGATGTTACTAAACATGACTGTTGTTGCACTGAATAATCTCCCATATCTACTATCATAGACCCAAGTACAGGAAGGCAACTCGGTGATTTCTGGCACTGTAATTTCAGCTGCACTAACATACTACACACCCAGTACATAATCACAAAAAAATCAGCTTTGCTTCTGGGAGCAAAATTAAATATATTGCTCATACTCATTTTTGGTCCCACTTCTGGAACAATCAAATCGTTAGGCAGAAAATTTAACATCTCATGATTGCTGGAAGTTTAAATCTAGAAATAATTCAAATTATAATTTCACAGCTGTGTACTTAAAAAAAAAAAAATATGCCTCACCACAATTTCAGTAAGGGATTTCTAATTGGAAGTGGGAATAGAATGAGTTTTGATTATCCAGTTTTCTTGAATATTAATCACTACATTTCTTCATTTGAATTTTTTTTAACCTACAGCTGACTTTTTTCTTCCCCAGAAATACTAGAACTCTAAAAAAAAAAAAAAAATTAACTACTTGGGTTAGACTGCTCTTTACTAATATTTTACAGAACTTGATCCACTACAAGGGTTTCCCTGTTAAAACTTGAAAGGTTAGAATTACTATAAAGACAATGATTAATTACTATATAGAATTACTATAGAGACCCTTCCTACTCTGGCAGTAGACATTAAAAAGCAGATAGTTAAAAACACTACAGTTAAGAGTTTAGTCTAGAACATATTAAATTGCACCAAACAACAGGAATTTTCAAATTATTTCCTGCAAAGTCATTATCCGCCTCCCTTGAATACCTTCTCCACTTATCTGTCAATTTAAATCTTGGGCTACTCTGTGATGACCATTATATAGGCTCTCAGCACAACAAATACAGCTTTTAGGAACAATTACTTCAGAGATGAATTAATGTTGCTTGTTTGCCAGCTGGAGTTGTCAACTTTCAAAAAGTCAGATTCTGTTTAAATTTAGGTGTCTGATCACCTCCCGGTCCTCCCACCCTCTTGCTTCCACCATTCTTTTTTTATTCACCAGACCCCATGGAAGATGGGGTAACAACCATCTACATGACCCTGCTGGGGCATTTTTGGTGAAAGGCTCTTGCAGAGGTGTTGGCAGAAATCTATTAGTAGCTTTTTCTTTTGCAGAAATATACCATGGTACCTACTTAAAGAAAGCAATAAGCAAGTTGACCATGATGATGTACTGCACAAAGAGGTAGACAGCCTGAAGGAATGGCGTGAGGAATGAGCCAGGAGGACAGTCTTCATTGGTTTCACAGACTGAAAGTGAAGGACATGGTTAGCATGGAAATGAGAGCAGAGCACAGCAATGGCACGTGCTACTCATTTGCCCCAGCAAGAGACAGGATAGTCTTTGTTACTTACACAGAGATACATTACTAAATTTCCAACTAAAAAGTCTACCTCCACATAAAGGAGATCTGAAACCTCTTCATGATACTACTGCCCCATAGTTTCCACTGCAATTCAGAAGCTGTAGACACCATTTCATACATATCAGTTCTTATTCCACCCTGACTTTTTGTTAAGGGGAAAAAATAATGCAGCTGAAATGTATTTGGGAGATGGCACACACTCAAGTAAACTGAAATCCAAATCTTTGATCCTTAAAGCAAAGCTTTCACTGACTCCACTGTGGAAAGGACATAGCACAAAGGCTGTTTTATCAGTACTGTAGTGTTACTCCTTTAGAGCTTCAGTAAGATCATATCAACTCATGTGCAAAAGAATATATGTCTACGAATATTTGTGAGATGAAGCAACAAATGACAGAAATTAAGGGATCCCTCTTAATGTTTTTACATTGTCAAAATACATACTGTTCAGTCTTTAATTTTTAATCAAATTTTACAACTTTGAAGAAATTTTAAAACACATTTATAAGGCAGCAGCCCTAAATTCAGGACATATTTCATGGCATAAAGAGTTATTAGACAAATCATTGCTTTATTTGGTAAGTGTTAAATTTCTAAATATTTAGCATTAATAAGTGACTAACTGTGAAACTCGACAGCACACTTTCATTAGAAAAATTTTGACTTATATAACCAAAATACATAGCCATCATGTGACTGTTTCAGCAATAAAAATGGATGCAACATCTTAAATTATCTTAATGAATCAGGTCTATGCTGAACTACATATCTTAAATATCTATACCTATTTGCATATCTACTTTTCTATTTTAGGAATTTTTTTACTTATACCCATGACTTAGCAGTATGAGAATGCCTTCCATCTGTAATGCTGAAATACCTCCTGGAGTGCCTGGTTCTTCTCTCTTACCGAGACAAGGTCAAAACCATAATCAAGATATAACATTTTCCAATTTACAGTGGTAGGTTTGATTTTTTCCTATGCTCAACTGGTTTATCTGTTTAGAATGATGCCAGGTAACTCTTACTATGGTGAAAAATATTTTTTATTTCTTATTTTTCCTTTTTTGTTTTCTCTTTATTCTTTCGTCCTTTGATACAACTTTGTAGTCTTGTCTTCAAGAGATCAGCAGCTTTGGATTCATCTAATTGGAAATATATTTGACTGCCAGATACCTTGAACATGAACTAATGTAGGATTAGTTCCTACATTCTTTGCTCTGAGCTTTGCAATATACTTCATTTGAAAAGTTATATTTTGAAGTTTTAAAGCTCGACCATTATTTTTAACAAAAAACCTAATATTCTCACATTTATGTATGAAGTATTAATCATTAAAGACATAATATACTGGAATCAAAATTGTTAGAGAAAGAATAGAATCAATATGTGGTGAAAACTCTAGTAGCCCAAAGTGTTTCTGTGTTTCTGCACGTAGTAAATTTAAGCTGTTGAGTTATACTGTGAAAATTACCTACCATCTATTTCTCCAGCATAGACCTCTCCAAACATCATCCAGTAGGGCTGAAATACAATATCTCGTGCCAGAGTCCAAGAAGGAGGCTCCTCTGGTGAAAGGATTGCCTTTCGTGACACTCCAAAACTCAACAGGACTATGGCCATCATGACCACAATATAGAACATGTTTGCTGTCTTGGAAAACATGTTTGCATGAAATAATTACTTGTGTTAATTAGATGTAAAGGAGACATACATTTTAGGGAAGAGTATCAATCATGACTTTTACAAACCAGAATATAAAACCAGGGCTAATAATCTAATAAAATGGAGAAAATAAAAATATTTTATTTCTACGACCTGGATTATCCAATTGTTTTATAGAGGTTAAAGTCCTCCTGGAACAAAAATGCCACGAGTCCTGCTTGTCTCTCAAGTCCCTCTTAAGATCTTAAGCAAGATTTGAAGAATGCAGAGACCTTATGATGGTGCTTCCTGAGTGGTATTTCTTCCAAACTGAGAGCAAGGAGTAACAGTGAAAATGATTTTGCCTTCTAACACTGAATTGAAATTACTATGCAAGACAGCATATAAAAGTATTAATAAGATAGTTCCCCATAACCAAGGGAAATTACAAGGGTAATCTGCAGATGTCCCTCAAGACTAGGCAGCAGTTCAGCAGCAGTTCTTATACCAAAAGAGAAAAAAATTAACTTTGATCTCACAGAAATTTTGCCTGCTAAAATGGGATATAATTATTTGAATCAAAATGTAAAACAATAATGAGACTGTTTCCAAGAGCTAGGGGAATTATTTATAGTAGTGAGCCCGTCTGCAAAAGACAGTGATTTTTCTTTCTCCTGTTATCAAGCTGGATCAGAAACTCAACTCAAATGCAACTCTTCTCTAAGGAATGGAGCAAAAATGTTTTTTGTGAATAAATTAAAGTAATGAATAAATTAGAGATAACTGAAATCTGATTATGGTCAACTCACAAACAGAAAAATACATTGTATTTTCAGGTAATACATTCACTATTAATTATTAGGTGACCTCTCCTTTGACCATCATTTTTTTCTGTCACTTCTCACCTTTACACTTTCCTCAATATATGCCTTAACTACAAAAACATTGCTCCGAAGCATAATACTTACCATTTTCCCAATCATTGTCAGATATGGGCCAGCATGCTGATTCACAGCAAAAAGATCAAGGAGCCGAGCATACCAAAATATTATATCCAAGCAGTAAAGTAGCCTCCCTGCAGTTTTAATAGGGGGGTCGGACCAGCGCAAGCCAAAACCAATCATAAACAGGATGATAGCTATAGAATCAGTAAAATTCCAGTATTCATAAATCCACACCTTCAGTTTTTGGTGGAATTTTCCAGGTTCTGAGATAAATACCTGAGTAGAATGTGGAAAAAAAAATCGCCAATGACACTCCATTAAAATCACAGATACATGCTTTAACCATTTCTATCTGAACTGTTTCATGATATTTGGGAACATATCAATTTTTTACTTTCTATTTTTTGCAGGCCTATGCACGCTTATTGTCATTTGCTGTTAATGGAAGTTTGTTCTTAATCTATAGTGTCATATTGCTCTAGTATGCCACACCAAATAGGATAGCTCTTCCTCAGGAAAAAGAGATCCTGAGCCTGAACCCATTCACTCAAGAGCATATTCCTCAGCAGAAAAGAGCAGACAACATAGAACTGTTATGCATACATATCATTGTAAGTTAATGAGCATTTTCTAGAGGAATGGTCATGACCTGTAACAGCCCTTTCAAAAGCCCCTAAGTCATGGAAAGTACCAACCTGATCTTTGGAAAATAACTAATGCCTTTTATTTCAGACTGAAAATATAGTGAATGATACTTGTATTCCACCAAGGACATGCTAAAATGGGAGTGCTGGCAACTAGCAAGGTAAAGAATGAAATGTTCACTCCTTGAACTGTGAGGTGCCCCAAAGGGATTTTAAGCTTCACTGAGCAAATGTATGAAGTGGAATCTTTGGGAGGCCATAAATAAAACCTTTGCACACTGTGCAAATGAGAGCAATTATACAGTGCTATGTAAGATCACACTGATAAGTACCAAGCAAAGGAGAGATTCTGAAATGTTATGCCCTGATCCTGCAAGAATTTACGCATATGAACTAACTACATTACACTAATGTAAACAAGCGATCCTACTCAATTCAGCTGGACTAACTCACATGAGGAGCTAGTTGCAGGACCAGGGCCTAAGGCTTTAATAATTAGTTGTTACAATCTAGAGAAATAGAGGTTTGCAGTTATATATAACAAGGCCCTCAGCAGTTAATTAGCAGTACATGTAAGACACGGTGTCCTACAAAGTCTTTGCCAACAGACCAGAACTAGTACATGGATAGAGAAAAACAAGTAGAAGACAAGAAGAGCTGATGTTTTCACTGTCCCACCATCAACATAATGCAACAGCAAGCGCAATAGTGACTTCAAAAGCGCTTGCTATTTCACATTCATTTTTTCTCTCAATTAGAAAATCCTTCTCTAAATTTTTTCAACGTTATCTCATGCAGCCACAGAACTTGTATGTTCATCAGGCTTCAATACATTCCCAGCATTTCTGCTGCCCCTTGAAATCCTTCACCCCTCTTGTACTGATGTCACAGTCTTCTGAGTGATCTGTTGTAACAGCATCGTTCACTCAGAACTGTGACTGTTTTCCGCAGTTTTATTCCTCTAAAAGCACAGTATTTCAAATGTAATCTGAAAGACAATTCACACTACTATTGTTTACTATGTGCCGATTCTTCTACAGTGAAGATATGTCTGATCAGATAAAATAATTTGATAAATACATAGCTACGTTTGTCCCCAACCTCAGGTTTAGAGTGCAAGTTGTGTTCAGAAGCTCAGATCTAATCAACTGCAAATAACTGTGATTAAATTTCATTGGAATATCATTTTGTCATGCTTAATGAATTCTGTAGTAAAAGTTGATGGTGGTTGTTTTCCAGTTTCATTTATAGAGGGTGATTTAGACTTGATGGCGAGCCATAGACGATTCTATGTATAACACCTATTAATTGATAACAATGTCCACACTCAAAGTAAATATCTAAAGAAAAATTCCGTATTTGCTATAAGAAATCCAATGGTTCACTCAAAAAAAAATTAAGAAACAGGTGCCTACATCAGGGCTCCAAATCTCAATTCAGCACAATCACTCTCAAGTGTCCTGCACATTATCTCTGGCTTTACACAGAAAAATTGAGATCTAAGGACAAACTTTAAGATGCATTTTCAAAGCCCAAGTACTGGTCTTCAAATAAAAGACTTCTCAGAAATAAATGCGCTGTATAATTCTTTCCTCTGCTAAATTCTCTACAAAAAGAAAGCAGGATTTGACATTCTTATAGTATTCTCTGGTATATAATGTATCCTTTATAGATGGAAATGGAAAAGCTTACCTCTCTGACTTTTTCAATAGCAGTGCTGAAAATATAAATTATAACAAGCCACTCTTGCACACTTGGTCTTGGTTCCATCTTCACCAACACAGTGTAAGTGAAGAGCACAAGAAAAGCCATGTACGCCATCTACAAAACACATAGTATATAATCCATATGCACAAAAATCTCCAACAAATTTCTGCAAACATATTAACAAGTGATTAGCCTGACTATATGTATTCAGACTACTGGGACACTGTCAGATTTTTGAGCCCAAAATCTTTCCTCCAGTTCTCCAAAGTATTTTTTATGGGAATATCCTTAAATATCATTTGGAAATTGGTGCTTTAGCGCTGAAAAAATGAGAGAAGATGAACTATTGCAGCATATGTTCGCCTAGGCCTCCAACCCACACATAAGACAGACTATTGTATTTACCCACCTTTACTTGAATGTAAAGGCAATGCTATGCTTTTATCCTAACCTTCTGTAGGAGCAAGTAACCATTCTCAAAGCTACATGAATCACTATTGGTTAATCAGTGCCTTCCAAAACACAGGAAGAAACAATATCAGGTGAAAAGCACATATTTTAAAGGAACCAGAACACACTATAAATGTATCTGAAATAACAGATTAACAACCAATAAAGCAATTAACCATGCCCCATTAAAGGAATAACAGGCAGCCTATTCATAATGGAATAACTGACCCAACAGGCAGCCTGACCTTAAACATCTTAAGCATTGCTGACACAGGATTAGTTACTAAAATTAATTTAATAAATGTATATTTCTCAAATTATTTCCTACAGATTAATATTCACTCTTTCAGAAACAGTTCCTAAAGAAAGGGACACAACTATCTGTGAGGTATTTAAGGCCAGTTTCAAATTTATCTCTATATGTGCAATTAACCACTGTAAAAAGCTGTGCTCAGGTTTTTCTTTAGTTCCTTATATTTTTTTTGTTATTTTTTGTTTGTTCTTTTTTTTTCTTTAATGCAGCTGCATGATTCTAGCAGAAAAACCTTTCTTTTAATTGTGAGATAAATATTCAAATGTCTTCCCATTCACCCCCATAACTAAGTGGCTGCAAATCCCTGCTAGGCAAAGTAAAAGCAGCATCAAGTGGCATTTGAAGGATCAAAGGAGGGTTTTGACAATCTGAATTCTAGCATGATGACCAACCGTGTGAAACCAGAACTTGACAATTGGTGCATTGTAGAACTCATAGATTTTTCTAGTTCCAGGCAGGCTTCCTGGTCCACCATCTACTTGGCTTTCATCAGACTTCTGAGCAACCTTCTCCACATCATAATCCTTCTTGAAAAGGAAACACTATCTTAAAAGTAAGAAATCATCATCTATGATTGCAAAGGTTGTGTCATATTAGAGGGAAGACAGGCACAGATATTTAAACTTTATTCTGAATATACAAATCATTACTGTAGCTTGATTTTGTCTGGTTACAACTATCTCATTTGAAAGAATTAACATGCACACCTTTCCTCTATAAATACTCATGTAGAGTTTGCTCTTATGACTACAGGCAGCAAAGTGGGCATCAGCAGACCTGAATCCACTCCTGTTTCTGTCACACATTTATTTAAGTCTTTAAGCAACGTCATTTAACCACTCTGTCTCATGTCCCCCATCTGTGAAATACAGATAAATATCAACTGCAAAAATGACATAACTGTATTAGCTAGAACTCCACTGACAACCATAGCACATTCTAAAATAAGGGAATGAGCATCACATTTCTGCTCATGTATATAGTTGCACAGGAAATGTCCAGACAGTGAAATTCTAAACACAGAATCTAATTGCTATTTTTGATGTATTGCATGCCTGATTAGAAGATGAGGATGAAATAAGTACTCTCTTACAAAGATCTCCCTACAAAAAATACAGGTAACTCCTTTATTATCTTCAGTAGAATAAAAACAAAAAAGCAAACACATTTGATTCTGTATGCAGAGTTTGACACTTCTCTGAGTACACCTCTGAAAGTACAAATACCTGACAGTTGCTGAAGCCTAAGAGCTGCAGAAGCATGGCGGTAGGCAACTGACAAAACTAGAAGGAGCTGATCAGAGATGACTGAGAGAGGCCCAGAGGAACTATAAACAGCTAAAAGCTGGGCAAGGCTGAGGGAACCAAACTACTTTGGTCAGTTTTGGTTAAATGCTGGCCAATTGCCTTGGCTAATATCTGTGCTAAAACTTACTGCTATTAGACATCTGCCATGTAGCACTTTTTATGTGACCTATTTATCCCTACTACACATTTCCTTGGGTTATCAGGGGAAAACTGATTTTTTTCATCACATTAGAGTCAGAAAAGTTCTAAACCGGAGAATCTGATACACAGAACCATCCCAATCTGTTAACCTCAGATCCTCCAAAGTGAAGGAGAGAATTTGTCCCATGAAAGCATGGAAGTTCCAGCTGCAGCTGGTCACTGGAATTTATGACTGTGTGTGAAAGATGCTCTACATGTCACATGTACACTGCATAAATTTTCTGTACATTTTTCCATAATATTTCATATCCACATATTTAAGAAAAATCAGTAGCTCAGCCTTTTGTTTTAAACAACACTCTACGTCCAATAAAATCAGAAGTTAAGCTTATTGCTAGTGCAGGGAAGAAGTTGCTCTGCCTAAGGCAGGTCAGAAAAGTGCTTACACACATTGCTCTGTTGGCTTCTACCAGACTGCAGATGTGGTCTTGCTGCAAATAATTACAATTGGCCTGTGCTCTGTATCATAGCTGTTACCTAACCCTGTAAAAAGCATTTTTTAAACTGACTGTATTAGACAGGCGCTGCAGGAGATAATGGCTTCAAGCATTTTTTCTGCATCAGAGAGAGAAAACACAAGTGTGGCATTGACAGGCCTACCATGCTGCTGTGAAAGCCCTCAATGACAAACCAAGCTCTTTTATTTTACATAAATTGGAAGTTAACTGAGAAGGTCCCAAACAAACTACAATGCTTATCTGCTGTAAGATAAGCAGAGCAGAGCAAAAAAGATTGCCCGACAACTCTTATTTGACAATCCTGTTTTCATTGGTTAGCACCTCACCAACATTTATCCTTTTGGATGGAAATTCTCCATGTCTGCTGCCTAACTCAGACTGAAATTTTCAGTTTCAGGAATGCTTTGTTGAGCATGAGAAAAAGAAAGGACAGGCAATTCTTCTAAGCAGAAGTCTGGGGGAATTCAGATCTTAAAAGGCAAAGACTTCAACTATGCTGGAGACTCTCCACAGACACACCCTAAGAAAGACTTTTCTTCAGAGTGTTTCAGGACTCAGTTCAGGTGACTAAATCAAAAGCATAGTGCTTCTCTTGTGCTTTGAATGACATCTCTGCAAGTGATGTAGAAGTAGAGACACTCTGTTTTCAACAAGGAGGGCAGAAGCTAGACCTTTGGAAGGGTTGTCATGTAATTCAGGAAACAAAATCTCAGGGAGAAACTAAGAGCAAAGTATGGCCATGGAGAAGGGGAGAAGCTGCAGCTGAGATGTGGGGCAGAGGCTGCTGGCCAGACAGAGCAGGAGGAAGGAGTGAGTTGGAGAGGACAGGATCTGGACTGCCTCAGTTCTGCCATTACCCTGCTTTGGACAGCTTGACTGGGCAACCTGAATTGAGTTTTATGGATGTGATTTTGTATATGATATGAAACCATTCTTAGATTTTTTGGTATACAAGGTTACATAGCTATTTATCTGCAGCTTGAATAGACTTTGTGCCCTAAAATACCTGCGTAACTGACAGATAATTATACTCTCATACTTCTGTGAGTTTGGGAAGGATTTTCTCATTATGACCAATACAGAAGTGACACCCAGAATAGACCAAGTGACTTGTCCAAGGTCACTTCAGTCTGTATCCAAACCAGGGATACAGAGAACTGGTGAACTGGGCCCCAACACTTCCAGCTGATCACCTTCTCCTCACTCCTCAGGGTTATCCTGTGGTAAACAGAGATCCTGACACACAAATGACTGATCACCCCAGACTAACCAGAGATAAGGCATCTTTAGAGCTGGTTGGGCTCTGGTCCCCATGATACCACGTGAACTGATAGAAGTCTTGAGACTGAGGCACATGAGACATTTCTGCCTTGCTTTTAAACTCCAGCATCAAGATGGTGGGAGGCAGGAGAATACTTATAATGACCTAAGAGAGACACAATATTCAGGAAATTAATTCAGCAGTGATATCATAGACCTGAGACCACAGTCAGCTATGTGCATGGTAGCAGCACAAACCCAGTGCAATTCCACTGGCCTAGGAGGAAGACACCGGTGCAGGAAATCTCTGTGTTACATTCCTATAGCCTCTGAAGAAGTGTGTTGCTCTTGACTGTTTTGTGGCTTTGAAGACTGTCATGGTATCTGGGGATACTTTAGATACTGCTCCCTATGTCGAGCAGGCATTCATCCCATCAGCAACTCTGCCAGAGAACCAGCAGTATGGAGCAGTGAGAGCAGGTGGGGAAAGACTGAAGGGTGCTGAGGGAATGGGAGTAGCAAAAAAACCATCAGAAATACATTCTCCTAGTGTCATCCCACGTCTGCTTTTTCAAAAAACTAAAACAGAAGCAAGTACTGTCTTCCCTCCCCCCCTTTCCTTTCTCTCCCAGATGTGCACATTCCAATCCCTGCTTAAGCACATCTGTCTAAAGCTGCATTAGAAATGTTCATAACCATGAGCACTTACATAAAGCATCTAAAGAGCATCTAAAGCTTCAGAAAAACCCAGGGTGATGTTACCTTAAACCAGGAGTTCTTCCGCATCTTCAGGCGCCCCATCCACATATCCGTCAGCAGCATCTGTGTGCAAGTATGGGATACAAAAGGCCGCAGCCCCACAGACACTGCTAGTTTTAAGCAAGTTGAATTGCTCCAGTTTTTCAGTTCATAGGTCAGCAACTTCATAGCCATCTGCTCATTTTGTTTGAATGCTTTCTCCAGCACATCTAAGGCAAGCTGCCCAAATTCCCTAGAGCAGAAAGGAATTAACAGTTAATATAACAAGGATCACTCAAAACTCAGAATCACTGCTGCAAAGAGGTGGGTTTGAAAACTCCATTAACTGAAGTTCACCTAAAAATCTCAGTAACTATGCCTTTTCCCATTCTTCCTGTTGTTTTATCAATATATCTAGTGAAAAATCATTTGGGGCATAAATCTATTTAGTACTAATTAGAAGGTTCAGGGTCATCCCGTTTTCTGCTTTTATTTGTTTTGTTCTTAATCTCACTCAGCAATAAAAACAGACCGTACGAAGTTCTGCATATTTCCTTCAACAGACTCAACACCACTGTGAGTAAGCAGTGCAGGCGGTTGCAAAAGCCACCTTTTATGCTGGCTCTTAAACATCTCTGTAGGGAAGACTCCTCAAGGAAGAGACACCTTCCTTTAAATTAAGCTTTGGAACAGCAAAACAAGAGAGCACATCTTATTGTACTCTGAAACTGAGACATGATGTCTACAAATCATACATTAACAAGAAAAACTACCAGAAAACACTAACATGAAACTACAGACTTGAAGACAACTCTTGGTCTATTTCATTATTTATTCACACAGTTATTTCAGCATACATTATTCTTTAGGTCTTACACACAACAAGATTTAAGCAGTGATTTCAGTTTGCTCATTACCACCTGTTATAGATTTGAAAAGTTCAACACATATGTGCTATATGTTTTTTTAACAAGCTGAACTGGAAGGGAAGATGTAAGGGAAATTTCAGTCTTCCACGTGATCATTTAGCAGACAGTAAGCCACACATTACTCACCTATATTTTAATTTTCAAATATGCAACTAGATAACATGCTAATAGCTTTCCTTTAACTCAACAAGACTGCACACCACTACATAGCTCCAATATGTAACATGAATAGCAGGCAGCTGAAAGTATTTATTTTACACTCCGTAATCCATGACACCACTATTCTTACAAACTCTTTGTGGATTAGCAAAATATCTGACCATTCTAAGCACTGCAGAACTTTATTAACTGAAGTGAAGGAAGAAGTCATACTTCGAGTACTTCTTGAGTTCTTCTGAAGTGTCATCCACCATGTTGCTCTGTTTAGCTTCACGTGCCATCGCTCTGTAGAGTTTACAAGCCACAACAGCTTTGACCATGGCTTCCTCACCATGCTGCCAGAAGAACATTGCCATCTTCTGCCTTTTCATTAATACTGCCCAAACCAGGAGGTCGTTATAGGGGTAGATAAAGCCAGATGACTCATAGTTCTCTGCAAAGTTTATATCCTCTTTTGATTTCTTCTTACACTTATGGAAAGCAGTGGATCTTTCCTGTAAATTTGGGTTTAAAAAAAAAAAAAAATCTTAATGAATGGTTGATGTTCCGATTCATGTGGAAAAAATCGCATGCAAATCTGAATTGCAAGTAGCAAACTATCTGATTGTTATATACATTTAAGTAATAAAACACAGCTAGGATCACATTCAGATTACCAATGGCAGGAAGTTGGTAACATTAGGGGAGGAAAAACACTCCTTGCTCTACCATGCCATTTATAGTCTCCCCTTTCATAACGTTGGGCAGTATCCAGACCCTGTCCATACCAAGATCCTGCTTTCATTCTTTTCTTGTAGTTGTGTCATGACAGGAGAAAAAGCAATCAGGAGACTGAAACACAAACTATGGACTTGTGATACTTAAAGATTACTTGTAATGTAAACTTCCTATACATTCATGTCTGGGTATTTCTCAATTAAAGGCAAAGAAAAAGTCTTACTGGCATAAGTGAAGTTGCCTCAGTGTTATAATGGGTTTATTTTGGCTCAGACTAATTCCAATAAAGCAATTTAAATTAATTCTATTTTATATTTTGTCTTTCAGATATATGTACACCATGATCTTTTATCTTTCTCTCTTTGAAAGAAAATCTTGTTATCATTTTCCAGATATCAGAACTGTATGTCTTCTTAGCAGGCTTACTGTAGCTTCTTTAAGAAGCATGAGAAAACATCAGGGAAGCCAGAGAATGTGTACTGTTGCTTCCAAGTAAGAAGAGTTTTCACCCATGCTTGATGTTCAGAAATTCGGTAATACTACATTTCAGTGAACAAAAGCCCTTAGCCACAAATGGATGGAATTTTAAAATTACCACAGGAGGAGTATAAGCTTGATTTCAACATTAGTATTGCCAGACCTAAACTTCATTAACAGCGAGCAGTAAAACATTGCTTCCACTGGAATTTAAGCAGAATTATGATAACTAACAGACTGACCAATATATGTATAAAATCTCTGAATATAATTATTAGCAGCCTAATATGTCCTAAGTAAAACTGAGAATAAGCAATTATATTACCTTGTATTTGTAAGGCTGTGCTGTTCTGAAGAACTGAGAATGCAGAGTACTTTCAGCAGATCCCATTCTGCCACTCGCCTGATTATTCTGATGAAGGGAATGAGACAGGCTCTGAGAAAAGCTGGAGAGCACTTTCTAGATCCAAAGGCATAGCATAAAACACAAGGAGAGAAATGCAAATTAGAGATGAAGTTTGCCTGTACTTATCTCTGATTGCAATGGTGCCTGTAGAAACTGACGTTATTCAAAGACTAGTGAGTCAGCAATCACTATAACTACCACTGGAGTTTATAGCATCAAGGAAAAAATAGCCTGTTTCACATCTAATTTTAAAAAATACATATTTTTCTGAATCTCCAAAATACTGATTTCCGCAATAGCATCCACCAATTACAACAACAAAAGGGCTTGCACCAGACTGGAATCACCCAAAGTAGAAGCACTTCTGAGTGCCTACCCATATAAAAAGTGTCATGAGCCCTTTAAAAGACAGAAGTTCTCCGAACCTTTTGTTGACCATATCCTCTGAAGGATGGCACGTCTAGCACCCCTGGCATTTTGTGCAGTGTTGACTGAGAGGGAGGAATGTTATCATTTGAATCACTAATGCTTTTCCCTGTAGTTCCTAGTTATATGATCATATGGTTTCACCCATCCCTGTAGCACAATGTTATGCCATACAGTGAAACACCTTAAGCCTCTAGAAGGTGCAGAACAGCAGGCGTGTCCAGGCATAACCCTCTGCCTGCACAAAGCCACTGCACCATGGGTGCAGTTTGGCACATCCAGGATCAGACTTCCCCTGTGATGACCAGTGTGTCATGGAAAAAGTTCTGCCAGGCAAACAGAGTTCCCTGGCCTGGAAAGGAAGATACACCACTAGCTCTGAGCTGCTTCTAAAAGGTAAGACATTTGCTCAAAATTTGGGTCAGGGATCTCCATGTTGCACTTCACTATGTGTGTTGGGTTTGAGGGGCAGTTAGGGGATTGGTAGTGGGGGAAGGGGCCACCTTGTGAGAAGACTGGCTCCAAGGTATACCCCAGCCAGCCCAGGCTGAGCCAATTAGTAATAGAGAAATGCTACTGTGAATCCGTATTTGTGAGGGGAAGGACTGTCTTGAAAAGAAGAAGGTGGAGAGAACCTGGAGGAGAATTTTCAAAAGACGACCATCTGCCTAAACAAAGAAGAGACAGACACCCAGTTCAACTGCATGGAGTAGGAGAAGGCAAAGGAGGTCTCCTGCCACCCAGGGAAGATCATCGACAGAGCAGATACCCACATGTAGACCATGGCGAACTTCACACTGGAGCAGGAAAGCTGAACCTGAGGGCAAGTGTGACTGAATTGAGACCCCAAGAGACACTCAACACCAGAGTAGGGGTTGACCCCTAGAGCTGGGAGGTGAGGAGGTGCACTGGACCAGATGCCTGTCTGCCGCCCGTGGACATGCCCATGTTGGAGCTGGGAGCTGTGCCCAAATTGGTCCATGACTCCATGGGAAGCTTGGTTTGGCATATCCTGTCCTCATCCTAATCTGTGCCCCCTTTGTTGTGATTCCCTTCCCATCTCACCAGGTGGGGGGAGTGCAAGAGGACATGGTCCCGCTGTGGTTAAACCACCATACTATGCCATGCTGACATGCCCTAAGTCTAGTTCAATGCCTGTCAAATTCAGTATTTATGTGATGTGGTTCAAGTTGCAGCACTTGAGAGCAGAAACATGCAACTGCTTCACAAAAGTGAAAATGGTGGTTGGCACAGCTTTGTTGATCTTTATTGGTGGATCTGAGCTATTTTCAGCTGTTAAATTTTGGCTTTTCTTGGTGACCAGTAGTAGCCATTTCACAAAAGTTACCTTTTGTTTTCTGTAGAGATCATTGTAGAGAATTCGGAAATGCTTCCTTGTGTAGCTGCTTCGATAAGCTCCACCAAGGAGGTACTCTATCACCAGCCCAATATCAATCAGTGATATCTTGTAATCCAAGGAAAGAGTATTCTGAAACACCAAATATCACAAGCATTTCATGATGCTATTATATGCAACATTCAACCATGTCAGAGCCCTACTACTATGAGGGGAGTCTGGAAGAAGGTGCAACCGAGAGCTTCTGCATCTGTCAGGGAAGTGTACACATTCATTAGGCATATGAAACTCCCCTAGGAGACAGAACGTAGGCACATTCACATTTTCAGCCTGAAAAGTGTGACGTCTACACTCCATTTCATCCACATCACATATGGATATGTATTCCAATGTTCACAAGACCAGCTCTATTCAATGGTGAGGGTAATGGTTCTTCAGGTTAATCACCAACAGTCAGACAGACTGATAAAAATCTTCTTCTCGTAACAAGAGAAAGCTAGCATGGTATGATTTGCTCATTAAACTAGTTCATTAATTAAAAATTAAGAAGTGGATGAAGCATGTATTTAATGTTGTAGATTTATTCCTGAAGACTAGCAATCTCTTGGAGAGGCTCAAGAATGTCATAACAACTAGGACAGCAGCTGCCTGTGCATTAGCTGCACCTTCTGAGTCTCTCACCACTCCTGTTTAAAGCACCGTTTCCCAGTTTACCTCCACTGTCTTTCCAAGACACGAGGTTTGTGACAAATTCTGTGAAGAACAGATTATCTCCCAGGCAGATTTTAAAGATTGTTGGTAAAACCTTAAACCACAACTCTTGGAAGCGAAAAATGGGCCTGTACATAGATGAGATCAGAGGCATTATGTATTCCTAGCAGAGTATGCCTTTCAGACTGTGAAAAGTCATTTTCTTCATTAGACTGAGGCTTTTTTCAATAGACTTTAGTGGCAAGACTCACTACAGCCAGTTAAGGCCACCCAGCCCTGGGGAACAGAAGGCACCAACATTCTGAGCACTCTGGGGCAAAAGCCTGTCTCATAGGATAGAGCTTGCCAGCTCTGTCATTGAGAGTTAGGCAAGTATTTCTGATTACCTGTACTTGTAGATAATTCTCTGCACTAAAAAGTGTATTTTACGTTATCAGAGTAGACTGCAATGTATCTCCATCAAATGTAGCAGCAGCAAAGCAGTTCACACTAATGGAGAAAATATTCTGAACTCCATAGTCACATCACTCTGGTGACTGTCCTACTGTGTTACCGTATTTAATAAGACTACAACTGCACAAGTCATTCGCAGAGTACTATGCATCCTTATAGAAGCTCAGGTGAAAAAGGCTTTTCACTGTCTAGACCTGTTTGCAGGTTCCAAGTGAGTTTAGCTAACCCAATGGCATAGGAAACTTTGAAATTGTGTTCCCATTTTCTGTCTAAATTCCATCATTCCATTTTAAGTGCCAAAAGCTTTCCTTTATATCATACCCTGAGTTGTCCCAGAGTGTCTTGAGATGCAAGCAGACCATAGGTTTTAGGAGAGGGGTCATATCAAGGAGCAAATATGTCCATCAGTATGGGAAAACAAAGAAAATGGCTTTCTATGGAGATCACAGAATCACTGAACAGTAGGGGTTGGAAGGGACCTCAGGAGATCATCTAGTCCAAGCCCCTTGCCGAAGCAGGTTCCCTACAACAGGTTGCACAGGAAAGCATCCTGGTGGGTTTTGAACATCTCCAGAGATGGAGACTTCACAACCTCTCTGGGCAGCCTGTCCCAGTGCTCTGTCACCCTCACTGTAAAGAAGTTTTTCCTTAAATTTTTGTGGAACTTCTGGCGTTCCAGTTTTTGCCCATTTCCCCTTGTCCTGCCACTGGGTACTACTGAAAAGAGTCTGGCCCCATCCATTTGGCCCCCACATTTCAGGTATTTATAGACATTGATAAGATCCCCTCTCAGTCTTCTCTTCTCCAGGCTGAAGAGTCCCGCTCTCTCAGCCTTTCCTCATATGGGAGATGCTCCAGGCCCCTAATCATCTTTGTGGCCTTCACTGGACTCTCACCAGAAGATCCCTGTCCCTCTTGAACTGAGGAGCCCAGAACTCCACAGAGCTCTTCTCCAGCAGGTCAGCCCCTAACTTGTACTGGTGCATGTGGTTGATCAGAATACCCAACACCTATCTACTGAACCATCAATGGGAAAGACATGAAAATCATCCACAGTAAGAAAATCACACCAGAAATCCCATTATTGAAGTCCACAGAACTCTGCAAACAGTCAGACTTACCATTTTATTTTACCTTAGCACTCATACCCTGGAAAGAATTAGCTAATTAATCTAGTTTTGGATCTAGACATCTCCTGCAGTGGAGACTAGATGCAGAAAGAACAGCTCATCCCTTCCTTGCTAAGCACTGTTGTGAGGTACAATAGACAACTGAAACACAAAATAAATTAAGGGTGTAGCTAAATAACAAGGTTGCCACTAAAACACAATCAGTACACCATGCAGTAGTCACCCACTGCCACCTTCTGTTCTCCTAGGCAATGCAGCACTTTAAAATAATATTCTATCTTGTTACAGTATCTTTTTGTCACTGCTAAACAAGGGCAAACTTTTTTAGCTTTGAGGGGAAAAAAAGAAAACCTTAAAGCAATGAGCATAATTACTGCCCTAATTCACTAAGTCTTTTAATACAATCACTTCATAATATCACTTTAGTAGATTGAGAAACAGAGTCTGATCTACATGAACGGCTTGGTTTTGAAATTAAGGTATAGGACCCTTGGGAGGATTTAGTAGTATGCTAGTTAATTGCCTAGGGGCATCAGTGGGATGAAGATAAAACCATTTAGTAGATATAGGAGCATAGTAATGAACCCATCACTTCTATTCCTAAAATTCCCCTGTATTTCCTAATAGCACTGTGCCAATAGACATGGAAGTTCTAAGCTACCATTTTTTACCCCCCAGCCTTTCCTATGTCTATTACCTGTTTCACATCTTGAACTAGGTGATGCAAAAGTAGATTTGATGGTCCTTGTTTCTGTGGTGTGAAAAGAAAAGACATTAACCAATTATGTCATTCTACATTGGAAAATCAATAGTGTAAAAGAAAGCAGCTAAAATATCTTCTGGATAAGCTACTGTGATTCAAACTCTCCCCACTCCAACTCTCCCTAAAAACCTCTTAAAAAATATTTCGACACCAATCTGTAGCACCTCTACTATCTTAAATCTTGATATATTCTAGAAAGAAGCTGGTATCACTTTGGTTAAACAATGTGTCATTTTCAGCAAGACAAGCGTGTACCACATACTTGAATAAAATCAGAACATAGAATCATAGAATGTTGTGAGGTGGAAGGGACCCACAAGGATCACCAAGTCCAACTCTTGCCCTAGAATAGGACAATCCCAAGATCCAGACCATGTGTCTGAGGGCAGTGTCCAAATGCTTCTGGAATATTGTCAGGCTTGGTGCCGTGACCACATATTTCTCAGGAGCTTCAGGTGAGTACTTAGTCTGGTTCATGTCAATGAATCAAAGATAAAAGCTGGAACGCCAATCAAAAAATCCAACATTACAATAAAAACTTATCAAAACCCATTAATTTTCAATTTAAAAAAATCCTTCATAAAAATGTGGCCAATTATCAAACCTCTTAAGTAAAACAGCATTCTTTCTAGTCATTCTTATCTAAAGTAGTACACTGGGATTTCCAATACGCACTGTATTGTAGAGTTCTTCCAAACGAGATATGGTAAGAAAACGGTGCATGTTCACTCCATGCTCTATTAAAAGCTTTACAAAATCCACACGGTCCATCACCAAAGCATCCAGCATTGCCTGTTCCAAGGCACCAACCTCCAGAAGGGAAGAAATGAAGGAAAAGCTTAGAAAACTATTATCTTCTTTCAGAAATAAATAAAATATTCCTGAACAGCTAGGGATCTCTTTATCACAATGATTTGTCTTTATGTATATTGAAAGTGTACAGTACAAAGTAAAAATATAAACTAAGCATCTGTGTAAAAAATCCAACAGAGAGGGGGAGTAAAACTGAGTCTCCATAAACCAAACATCTCTAGAGACTTCTACAAATCTAACTTTACAACCAGACTCTGATAGTACATTCCCTACTCTTTAATTCACTTCAGAAACTAATGTATGATAATGTGTGGGTGTGGGGGGGGAGCCTTGCTTGTTTGACATATGACAAAAGCCATTTTAAGGTACTGTGTTTAAAGACCTCTCTATAGAACATGAAGTTCTTTAAAATAGACCTCTTGTCAAATAAGAGAGAGAAAATGTGTTAGGATAAACTCTCTCAAAGACACCATGAAGTAAAATTCTACCTACAACAGTGTCCAAACAGTGAAAGCGCTCTACTCATGGCACTTGCATAGAGCTCAGCAGGATTTCTACATGCAAAATAGCAAAGGATTTGAATATATGAGGTTCATATAAATCCATATAAAGAAGTTCTATAGAACATGTAGGCATAGAAAACAGTGCATTGAGTAGAATGAGGACACTGCCACACAAATGGATTAGCTTGTGCTAACTTGGCATGTGAAGTTAGTCCTTTCCATGTATGTATATATATTAAAAGATGACCAATAAATGTTAGAGAACTGTCACATGTGAAAAGAAAACTCGTGCACTGTCCTTGCATTGTTGGTGTTTCTTCCAGAGATATCTCAAAGTGACCATTTTTGCATTAAATTGCCTTGAGCGGTTATTCCTTGTGCTGGCAGTGTGTCTAAAGAAGTTTAGACAGCCATCTGGTAACTACTAGAGTGACATTCTTCGTTGTAAGAGAGACTGAGTTAATATTTAAGCATAAATGCAGTTACAGCTGGTTGTAATCTTTACCTTCTGAGCTTTTAGGACCAGAAATACCCAAAATCTAGGCATAATAGTGCAAGTTTCCTTAAAACACAAACAGACAGAAAAATACTACAACTACATGGGTAACCACCTAAAAATTGCTGCTTAAATATGTAATTCAAAATTTTAACACACAACCACAATACCAATGCACAAAATGTAAACTGTGACAACTGCAGGTCTGGGAGACCCTGACAGTTGGAGGGGTACTCCTCTTTAATTAAGAAAGCAACTAAGTCCTAAGGAAACTTTTAAACTGTGCTTGTGCATTTTTTTTCTTTATTATTTTTTTTTCTTCTTTATTTTTTTTTCTTCTTTACCTTGCATGAAGAAAATATTGTTATTTAGGTTTTGTTTCCTGCTCAGTCAAAAGAAAACCATTCAGGAATATATGTCATTCTTATTTTTGCTTGGAGAAACAATAAAAGAAGTAAGGTTTTTTTATTACGAGCACTTTAAATCTTACCTGAAGAGAACATATTATTTGGCTAAGACTTCTAATTGAAAAATGGTGCTGAACTATTGCAGTGAAATAGATATGAACATAGATCTTTTTCAAACATAGCAGAAGCAGAGGAGCATGAGCAGGAGGACTGTCAGTCAACCTGTAAGGTCAGAGGATGATCAAGGTATAAAAGAAACAAGCAAGTAGATAAGGCTGTTGCAGAAATAATACATCAATTCATTGCCTCGCTGCTCACTACAGAACATGTTAGGAAAGGTCCTACATCAAAGCTGTTCTTTCCAGCAGACAAATCTGAGGCACTGTGTGAAATTGAAGTGTCAGTAGAAAAGATTATAGAAGTCATCCATAACGTGGTAGCAAATTGACAGGACCAGGCGGTATTAACCTAAGAGTTCCCAGGGAATTGAAGCATTGCTGAAATCAGTCCCTCTAACAGCAAAATGGAAGACAGTAAAAAATAAGCCAATTGTTAAAAAAAGACAAAGGAGTGTACAAGTTGTCAAAGTATTGCATACCAATAGAGTCAGAACTTTGCAAAGACAAATATAATGAAACCACAATAAGGAATAGCAATGATAGCTACATGGGTAAATATAGTAGAGTAAGAAGACGCAAGGCAGTTATTCTGTAGAATGAAATCAGAACTCTACCAGAATTTTGGCAGTGACAATGAGGATAAGGCTGTCCAATTGATACAGTACATTTGTATCCCCACAAAAGCTTTCGATTATGGCTTTCTTGAAGAAATTTCTAAAAAAATTAAGCTGCCACAAGGCAAAGGGTCCCCCAATTCTTTAATAACTGATCAAATGGTAGGGAAAAAGATGATTAATAGTGATGGGAGATCAAGAAAATCCCACATAGTGAATACTTGCTGATGATACAAAAATATACATCACAGTAAAAGGGATTAGGAAGATGTGCAGAAAAATTGCAGGTGAAATTCAATATTGGTAACTGTGAAATAACGTGCATTTGGGAAAAAACCTGCATGCCTGTCTTGAAATTAATTCAGGAAAAATGTTAGTGGACATATCTTCTGAAAGCATAAATGTAAGTTGGATATAAGTTGGAAACAAGCAAAAAAGGCATACAGACTACTAGGATTTATACTTGGATGAACACAGCATAAGGTATAAAACATTAGTATATCACTAAATATCTCAATGACAAACCCCATATCTTGAATACTGGCTACAGTGCTGGTATGCTTACCCCGAAAGATTACTTTAAGAAGTAAAAACAGTACACAGAAGAGCAGAAAAGACTCTCAGAAATATGGAAAAACTGAATAGAAAATCACCAGGGGAAAGCCAGGAGTAAAGGTGGGGCACTATGCAACAGTTCTCTAAAATCTTCTGTGTCAAAGGGGTGGAGACTAGAAAAATGTTATTCCCATACATGTAGAATTACAGAATCATTTAGGTTGGAAAAGGTCTTTAAGATCTTCAAGTCCAATCATAAACTTATCACTGCCAAGTTCCACTCAACCATGTCCCTAAGCACTTCATCTACACATCTTTCAAATACCTCCAGGGATGGTGACTCCACCACTTCCAAGGGCAGCCTGTTCCAACGTTTGACAGCCCTTCCAGTAAAGAAATATTTCCTAATACTCAATCTAAACCTCCCCTGGCACAACTTGAGGCTGTTTCCTCTCATCCTATTATTTGTAACTTGGAAAAAAAGACCAACAACCATGTCTCTACAACCTCCTTTCGGGTAGTTCTAGAGAGCGATAAGGTCTCCCCTCAGCCTCCTTTTCTCCAGGCTGAATAACCCCAGTTCCTTCAGACACTCCTCATAAGACTTGCACTCTAGACCCTTCCTTTGCTCCGTTGCCCTTCTCTTGATGTACTCCAGCACCTCCATGTCCTAATTGTAGTGAGGGGCCCAAAACTGAACACAGTATTCAAGTACATGACCTCACCAATGCTAAGTACAGGGGGATGATCACTTCCCCAGTTCTGCTGGCCACACTATTTCTGATAGAGGCCAGGAGCTATTGGCCTCAACTGGAGGCATTTAAAAGATGTGTAGATGTGGCTCTTAGGGATATGGTTTAATGGTGGACTTGGCAGTGTTAGGTTAATGGTTGGACTCAACGACCTTAAGGGTCTTTTCCAACCTAAATGATTCTATGATTCTACGATTCTACTATTACATCACCTATACTAATTCACCAGTCAAAGCAAGTTTCACCTGCCACACTTCTCATGTAAATGCAAAGGAACAATGCACACTCACAGGCCTTGCCAACATACATCTTCAATGATAGATAAAAAGGACAAAAACGTAATGCTTCTCTCTTACTCCAATAATATAGAATTTCAAGCAGTAAGATAGAGGGTGTCCCCCTTTCTTTAATATCTTACACAGATGTGCTTCAATAAAGCTTATCAACTGTTCACAGCAGAGTTGTTGAAGGCAAAAAACGAAATAAACACAAATTTAAAAAAATGTACATGCTATAAAATAATGAAAGAAGACATTGGGAAAAATACATTTTCTTCATAAGAGTCAAAACATAACAGAGTATTGTAAAAAAAAAATCACAAAGACAAAAATATGCGCATATTGTTATGTATACACAAATCTTTTCCATATTCCATGAAAACAAGAGTGTGTTGGATAGAAACACTGTTAAGGTTATGCAGTCAAACACTCAAGAGTTATCAGATACTTCGTCACCATGAATAATCGTACAATTATTAATTGCTCAGTCATACACTATGTTTCCCAGAGGGCTATCTTACTTAGTTCGGAGTGAATGATGCTCTCTTAGCAGGGAGCTATTCAACACTTTGTTCTAACTTTTTTGTTCCAGGCTTGGCACATTCCTTATTATTCACATACTGTTCAAATCCTGCACATGAAGCTGGCAATTTCCTTCTTTGCCTTCAGTGGGCACTTGACACCATTTATTTTTACTAGGTTTTGTGCAAGAACATGGAGATATTCATCACTTCAGAGATAGCAAATTGAGACCAAAGAGGTAAAAACAACAACAAAAAACCCACTTTAATTCACAGATGCCCAATTGTTGATATCTCAGGCATAGTCCTCCATGTATTTTGTCTTATACACCAAAGGAAAACATGGTGATCGATAAATTCAGCTCTCTTGTTGTGTCAAACAACCAGATATGGTCACTCAAAAAAAATATACCCACTGTCAATTTTCCAAAATTTACATTATAAAGAATAAAAGGCACTTGGGACTAGAAAAATCAACCTTGTAAATACTGAAAGGTAAAACTTAAAAAAGTACTCCCAGGAACATCAGATATAATTTATTCAAGAAAATATTTACTCTTATAACAAATGGGAATAGCATGTGTTGAGGCACATGCAGTTTTATATTTATAATCTATAAAAATCTTATACCTAAAAACTCAGTTAGGGGGGGTTATACTTCAATACTGGATTACATAAGAAAACTTGAAAAACACCATTTGTAGGACTGATTCAATTGCTACTGTATGTTCTTTCACACACATGTAGTTTATGTAGGTCTAAATCATGGCTTGCCTAGATTGCAGCTATTCCTAAGAAATAATATTTAAAATATTGCCATGATGACATGTTACTATAGTTAACTATACCTTATTTTACCTATTAACACCATAAAGGACCGTGATTTCTATGTTTCTGCCTAGAGCTAGGAAAAGAGAGGCAACAATTCTTTGGAGAAAAAGAGTACTCTGGCTCACAATGAAATAATCTTTACTACCAATGACTGTCAACACAGGCTTGAGGAATACATATCCAGAAGGATCACTGAAACTATCTGGAAAAGCTAGTAGCAAAAACTACAGGAATTTTAGATATCACCTCTTCTCTGAGGAAATAAACGTATTTCATTTTTGAGCTCTGCAGTTGAATACTTCACAATTTTAAAAATAATGCCTCTCCAAAATCTAAAATGGTTACTCCAGAAGACTGATTCCAAGCATCAAACTATTCCTTAATTAAGCCTGACAAGTGCAAATCATGGAAAATTAGTCATCATAATAAAGTGTAAAGCCACCATGAAAATTAAAAGATAATAGTACCTTCCAGTGTTGTCCATAAACCAATATGTGTTTCTTGGCAATATCTAGCCGGTTCCAGGCCAATGCCAAATCTAATTGATCTGAAGCAGACATATTTGTACCTAGGAAACAAGCAAAGGACTTAGCAGTTTTCACAAATTGATGTTACTCCTTTTTTTTTTTTTGAAAAGGTAAGCTAATGGGACTGTATGTCAAATGAAAACAGGTCATCTTTTTAGATAGGTACCTTTCAAGAGTGCAGTCAGAATTGCCAAATCAATGTCTTGCTGATCTTCTGAGTCTGCATCAAATATGGTTATCTGTTAGAATTGCAGAAATATACTATTTGAGGTGAGGCAGAGAAGTCTGTAGTTATTTCTTCTTGGTAAGTAAGGGCTGTGGTAGATTAAATCATATACTTTTCAACACAAACAATGGCAAAGGCCCAGACATGATTTTCCTATGTAAGGATTTGCCTACAGGAAGGCTAAGGAGGCACTCTTCATCAAGGAGTGTAGTGATACAATGAGGGGTAACAGATTTAAACTGAAAGAGGATAGATTTAGATGAGATATTAGCAAGAAATTATTTACTGTGAGGGTGGTCAGACACTGGAACAGGTTGCCCAGAGGAGTTGTGGATGTCCCCTCCCTGGAAGAGTTTAGGCCAGGTTGGATGAGGCTTTGAGCAACCTGGTCTCGTCGGGGTGTCCCTGCTCATGGCAGGGGGATTGGAACTAGATGATCTTTAAGGTCCCTTCCAATCCAAACCATTCTATGATTCTATGATTCTACTCACAAATGAGCACCTGAGCTGCTAAACATGCCAGTACGTTTTGAAAGTACTTATTAATACTCAGAGACAAGTTCTAGCACAATTCTGTTATGAACAGAAGAATGGATGGAAACATTTCTAAATTATAAATAAGACACTATTAGAGAAGAAAAAAGGAGGAATTACTTGATCTTTCCTGCGAAAACAAAGATGTCTGGCCTTTTACTAAAATCAGAAAGGTTGTAATTTCATAAGCAACCACTGAGACTCAAGAAGTTGACAAAACAGGCTCTGTGGAGCTACCCAAAATATAAATCAGCACAGATACCTCTGTGTCGTCTTTATATTAGAGATAACAGCATTACTTCTGCAAATGCTATGCCCACACCAACCCACCAAAGAAAGATCAAAAAGGGTAACAGCAAATGAATATGTCCTAAGCTCAGAGAGTGAACCCCACTCACGGACTCTCTGTGCTCCATGCATTCCATCAAAATGTGAAACAGATGACTGGACTGTTTCTGTCCCAAGCTAAAGGTGTTTTGAATCATCACTAAGACTTCCTCCTTCACTTGAGGGCGCAGCTCCCTGAAAAACGGATACACAAGCAAGCATAAGTATATTTTTAACTACTTCTTACCAGCCCAAATGACACCTCAGCAAAAGACAAAGCTTGTGCTACACAGAGACACATAAGAAATCTCTTTTATTTCTGCTTCTCTGTTGACTTATTCCTGCCTTCTGTCAATAAAACAAAGCAAAGGCATCCCATAACATAAAATATTATTCACATGGGCATTAGTTCTGACCATACATATATACTATGGGAAATAGGGCAAATGAAAAAGTTAACAATTTTCAAAGGATTGTCTGTGAATAAAGAGCTAAAAATCAATAAAGGTTTAGAAAACCTTTCCTTTCTTTCAATAATCATATAGGGATAAAATTTAATTCCTCGTTATTTGTTCATTAGGCTTCAAACCTCTCCCACCTTTTTCCCCCTCATTTATCTTTGTGTTAACCTTTCTGTCCATATTTTCCTTTTCTTTAGAAACAGTGGGATTTTTTATTTTTAAAATATCAAAAATATGGAAGAAAAAGCAAGTGAAAAAAAAAAGTTCTCAATACAACACACTAGGGAAAAATACCACCTCCCCAAAAGAATATTTAGAAAAGATAATAAATAAACAAATAGGATATAAAGTTTATTAAACTGATCTTTTTTTTAATTAGAACAAACTCAAGCCACCTTTTTAAAATTTGATTTTTTATCAAATTTTGTTTAAATTTAATTTATTTTAATAAATTTAATAATTACATTTAATTTTAAT